ACATGTTGAAATATCCTGATAATAACAATGCATCTGTAAATAAACATTCATATGTATCATACACCAACTCGCTGATCCAAATTATAGTAGATTAATGTCCTCCTTAATTAGAATATGACATCAGATATTCTTACCAAATTCCACTTGGGTATAATTTACATTTTACAATGAAATATTTTCAGTGGTTTTATAGCAAGATATCTAAGATCTGAAATTAAATCATGTTTTGCTAAAGATACTAAACTACAAAAATACAAAGACAATATCGAGTTTCATTCAAAATATCATATTTGTCTTTGAATTTTGAATACGGCACATTGTAATTACTCACACTACATTAAGAGGTTAATTAACCTTTGTAACTAATTTAAAATCAATCCAGGTACAATTAATGTAGGAAGCAGGAAGGAAGATTGTGTATAGCATAACCGTTGATTTCTGAAAAGTTTTATAAAACACGATGTTAATATGTCCTGTTCTAATTTTCATGTTAATTTACAAAATTACATGAAAATTGCATTCTTGGTTTGATTGAGTCTATACATAAGGGATAATGAAAAGTGCAACATCCCTCACGCCCCTTAGCACCGGCTTGACAGGTATTGAATTCTCAACACTTAATAGTGCTGGCATCAATGATCCCGAAGGACAAGAAATATAACAACACTATAACTCCTCTAACGCTACTTCTAACAATAACATCAGCATATAGAATGTAGCATATAGAATATATATAGAAAGTACTATGAACATATCAACATTTATCCCAGGTACATTACCATTGGTAAAACTGTCTAAGACATTGAAAAAAAGAAAGGGAGATAAACATTCTCCCTGACGAACGCCTTATGTACGTACATATTCATCACTTAGTTCATTACAAAACTTTATTTTTGCTTTCACTAACGAATACATAAAAAGTATGATATTTAAAATGTGACCACGTATGTCAAGCTTAATCATTGTCTCTAACAATGTAGTCAAAAGCTTTAGTAACATCGAAAATTGCACAATCGCTTTAATAATCATGTAACTTCTTAAATCATGTAGCACAAACAATGTTATCTACAATACTTATATGTGATCGAAAACATGTTTGGGCCTCGATATCAACACTGTATTTTTGTGTCCAGCTTGACGTATTATTTAATATTCGGGTAAACAATTTTCCAAGAACGTTTAACAAAATTATACCTCTGAAATTATTAACTTCTTAAGTAACATTTTTATCGAATGGAACTTCCAACTTTCAGGAAAATAGCCTGTCTCAAAAATTCCGTTAAATAATTAAAAAAAGCATCATTTACCATGCACAGAAATCATTTAAAAATGCACCTGGGTCACCATTTTTACCAGATTTGTGCTGTTCAATAGATTATGTTATCCCTCACTTAATTGTACAATTATTCCCTCAAACATAATGCTAAATCCTTCCTTTTCATATATCTTAATAAGATATATAACATTTTTATCTGGTGTATAAAATGAATCATCTCGGTTATTCACATATTCAAAATAATGAGCAAAATTATCTAATTGTATATTTGGCTGCTTAATGAACAGCAATCCCTTTAAATTAACATATTCCAATTTTGCATTTTTAAATCTAGCTTATGCAAGTTTCAAAGACTCGGCTTTGTCAAAATCACATCTTCATTTCCTAATACATGTTTTATATTGTGATCTGGTATTAACTTAACTAATTTTTTTCTTCGCTTTTTTTTACAATTATTTTTTCAGTGAACCAAGGCTGATCCGAAATACTCCATTTTCTTCATTATTAACATCGATATTTCTCTTCAATGAAGGGGACGTAACTTCGTCCAATATATTTGTAAAACTATCTACACGTACTATGCACATCAAGAGCAGATTTTTTTAGCACGTATGAACATTTTAATTTCTGTAAACCATTCATCTGTAAAATCCGATTTTAAATCACCTGACCATTTACATTTATAACAAACACGATAATGACTATCGCTTCTACCTGCATTGCTAGGATTATCATATTTAATAATATAATTGTTTAAATTTGTTTGTTTGTTTCATTTTACGCATTTTCGAACAGTATTTCAGTCATATAGGCGGGAAGTTTCCTAACCATCGTTCCTGGAGAGTTACACCAGTACTAGACTACCTTCCTCCGCGCTAAAATGCCAAAGCATCTCCCGGGGATCGAACCCACGCCAGAGAGTTAAAAAAATTAAAAAGTGGTCCGACTGTAAATTATTCGGTTCTGAAACATCAAAACGTTTAACAAATTTGGAAAGGTTTTGCGTACCAGTAACATAAGCAACTAATCTAGAGCCTCTATGGCCAACAAAAGTATATCGCCCCATTCCCTTATAACCGCCGACATGACAGACCTGTCTGCTTGCAAAAGTCAAGTAACAAAATACCATTATTATTCGCGTGGCCTTTAGTTTGTGAATGGCGTTCGATAACGGTATGAGTCACATATTCATCTGATAACATAGTCACGTGTCTAAAATTATCGTCTGTTACATAATCTAGATTATCAGACGTACGTGCTTAAATGTCTCTACAAATAAATAAGTCAAAATTATTTACTAAGGTAGCATAAAGACTCCTGATAAAATCGAAAAACCTGTCTTGTCTGCTACTATCATATTATAAATATACAAACAGATATGTTTTGAGCCACATATTATATCGTCGTTACGTGTCTCATGTGAGACATATTTATTGCGAACATATATGATAATGGCCCCTGGTGTTCTTAGTCTCAGATCTGTTCAAAACCAGATACAAACAGTTATGAAAAAGAATTTGTTCACAATTCTGTAAATAATATGATATCGTTCCCTTTAAACTGTCGTGATATCAGTTTATTAGTTAATCCCCATCCCGTAAAGCGGGGAGGGATTATAGGAATGACCTCCGTCTGTCAGTCCGTCCATCCGTCCGTTTATCCGTCTGTAATGCTTTCTTGTTCGCTCCAAAACTTTTAAACCGATCATTTTATTAAAATAATTTTTCACAAGTGATCACCATCATGAGACAATGTGCAGAGCGCATTAATTGGATTGTTACCCCTAAGGTCAAGGTTTAACTTAAATGACAAGTTTTAAAAAGTCTACATTTCGTGTCAGCTTCATATCATTTAATTCGCTCCAATTTGTTAAAAATAATTTGGCAGAAATGATCCACATTATGAGGCGATGTGCAAATATCAAATTACTACCTTCATGGTCAAGGTCACATTTAAAGGTCCTATGTTAAAACATTTTTTATATCCGCCTTATAACTTGCTGACAATTCAAAGACTTTAAAAATACTTGGCACAAATGATCCCCATATGACACAATCTTCAGAGCGCAACATCTAGGTTGCTACCCCAAAGGTTCACTTAAAGATCAAATGGTAAAGTCCACATTTTCTTGTCCGCTCCTTAACTTTCAAACTTTTGAAAAGTTTTTAAAATGACTTTGCACAAATGGCACCATATGGCATGATGTGTGGCCTATGTCACACATAGAGAATTAAATGTTAAAGGCCGTGTAAGTGGCGCCCTATATAGTTCTAGAAAAATGACAACTCATTTAATGTGTACCTACAGGGTTTGACAATTCCCTGAACATATTTAGTATGCTCTCCAATGGGCATATTGTAATTGAACACTAACGTTTGCTTGTTTGGCTGTCCGGGACAACATCCAAAGGTTCATGAGCTTCTTTCCGACCATTTTCTTAGTTTAAAAAGGAGAGATTTCTATCCGTGATAGTAGCTTCATACTACAAACACGTTAGCTTGGCAAATAAACATCCATTTTCCCTATTTAATTTCCTTCTCTATCACCTGTTGTGGTTAACTTATATGTTATGACTATTTTCCTGTAGCAACTTGATTTACTGACTGATATCTTCTATATTTTGTAGGAAGAAACCTTAAATAGTCCTCTTACTTGCCAGGTGTATGGGGTCAAGGTTACTACTGCTAAAAAAGATTTTTTTTATACTTTTGCCCATTCCTTCATGTCTTTCTTTTTTATAGGAACATACCGCGGATGGATTTCTAACTTTTGACGGAGACAAAATGGGTCACTGGGATCAATGTCACGAGTGCTTGAAATACATATAACACTTTTGGTTATACAGTCTTTACTTAATGACTTTTGTCTTTTGTATTAAAGAGGAACATACCTTCGATTGTCCTCTATTTTTGGAAGGATTACATTGTCACTTTGGTCAAACTCACTGGCGCTATATTAGTTGTTTACACCTTTACTCATACAGAGTTTAATAATTGACTGATGTCTTTTATATTTATTAATAAAGATACTATGGGTAGTCATTCAATGTTTAATAGAGTTTCGAATCACTTTGCTTAAAGTCAAGGTCACCGATGTTAATGGTTGGTCCTCTAACTTTAGGGGAAGTAAAGGATCACATTTTTAAGTCAAGGTAAACAGTGCTGAAAAAAATTGTTTACACTTTTGCTCCTACAACCTTTATTTATTGACCGACAGCTTTTATATTTGGTAGGTACATGTACATTGTAAATGGTTCAATGTCAAGCTCACTATGGCTGAAATGATATTCTTACACTTTATCACATATAACATTTATTTATTAACCGATGTTTTTCATATTTGGTTGTAACTGTAGGTGTACAAATGGAATTAACATAAAGTATGAATATTTGATAAAAATGTGTTAAGAACGGCGTAAGAACAGACTAACAAACTTGAGCCCTCAGTAAATGACCTTGTGCAGCGAATATAGCAACGGCTAGTAGTACATGTAGTAATCACTTCTGTTTGCAGCATGCTAAGGGGCATGTTAAGGGTTAGAATTAGGACATCAGTCAATGGCATCAGTGAACTTGAACTTGTTGAAATGCTTATATGATTTTTTTTATTCCTCTTCATAAAATCATATAATTTGATGTGTTGATTTTCTAGTAAAATGTAAGGCTTATGTAACAGTTTTAATAATTTGAATTCATTTATTTATTTATCTTGTTTTACCTTTCAGAAAGAAAAAATGAAAGATATAGATTCAAAACTGAAGCTGTTTCTTGGCATGATATTGTTGTGCTCTTTTGTTGTTATACCTTTCGTGTATAGCAGTTACAAAATGAAGGTAAAAATGAGTATTTATTTTTAAATGCATTATATACCATGACCAATAATCTGTTGTCATATTTAAATAAAAGTGGATTGGTTTATAATGGCTGCATTTTCTATTACAATTTGAAATATTGACAAAAACAATAGAAATGTATTTTATTATTATTATTATTATTATTATTATTACTATCATTTATTATTTATTTATTATTACTATCATTTATTATTTATTTATTATTATTATTATTATTTATTATTATTATTATTATTATTATTATTATTATTATTATTATTATTATTATTATTTAGTTTCAGTTTATTATTATTATATGTAATATCGTATCATGTTACTTTGTATCTCGCAAACAACATCCATATATACGTGTAGAGGATATTTGTTTGTGTGTAAGATGAAATTTTATTACATCGATGGAGCTTTTAAAAAAGTATTCTCACGAGTCGCGTAGCCACGAATGAAAATCGAGTCAGAATACTGTTTTTAAAGTAAAAAGAATACATCGTACACAACAAACAAACACATTTTCTTTTTTATGCTTAAAACAAGTTGAAACGAAATTTCCTTAACAATAACTTAAATATTAAAATCTGTTTTCCCCACTGGTAGCCCCTAATAGTCGAATTTCTCATAAGATACAAGATGTCTTGGGTTGAAGAATCAGTTCGACAATAAACGTTAAATGGCGTTGATATTATTCATTTTATTAAAAAAATATGAATGATCGCTTGTTTTAATAATAAAAAGAAACTATTCTAGTAGAACAAAAAGTAAAAAAAAAAAAAAATTATATCTTTTGATAATTTTCACGGGATAAATGCGTAATCAAGTGAAAAGCATAAAATACAATATTATTCATTCGTGGTTTGTTCTCATTGATACTTAATACTATCAATGTACAATCAATTCATTGTTATGCATACTTTCGATTATAGGCCAATTCACTTAACAAATTACTGTTAGTATTCTCGGAACAAAATTATCTGATTTAAGGAGGTGATGATAAAAAGCTAATTTATCATACACTTATAAATCATGAAGTTGAAATCATGAATTCGTGAAGTTGAAATCGTGAATTCGTGAAAGTGAAAGCGTGAATTCGTGAAGTTGAAATCTTGAATTCGTGAAGTTAAAATCGTGAATTCATGAAGTTGAAATCGTGATTTCGAGAAGTTGAAAATCGTGAATTCGTGAAGTTGAAATCGGGATTCACGAAGTTGAATTCGTGAAGTTGAAATCGTGAATCCATGAAGTTGAAATCGTGAATTCGTGAAGTTGAAATCGTAAATTCATGAAGCTGAATCGTGAATTCGTGAATTCCGTATTTAGATAATGTGAATTCACGAAGTTTTAATTGTGAATTAATGAAGATGAAATCGGGAATACGTGAAGTTTATATGGCCCTACCGGTCCTTCGTAGCGTTGTCCGTCCAACTATTCGTCTATCCGTATGTCTGTCTGTCCGGCTTCCGTCACGAAATTGTCTGTCATATTTGGTTATATTTCATGCTGAAGAAGTTCTGTGACTCTAGAAGAGTCATAATTCTCTTTTGAACCTTTTTTTGGAGTTATTGTCCTTTGCATTTTTTCATACTTTATACCTAAGGTTTTGTAATAATAAAAAAATATATATTTATTTATTCTGACAGCCATACGTTGAACCTGCTGTTCGGGAATGGTCAAGACGTCTACCTATGTACCTTGATTTGGATAATATAACAGAAAAGGGAACTAAAGAAAAGATTATAGCACTGGCCAAAGTCATTTACAACGCGAAGAAACACGTGCGTGGGTCTAAGACTTCAGATTATTTGAATAAAGCTATTTCTATCATGAACAATATACTTGAAGATATCAAAGTGGATTCTAAAAATGTGTATGAAAGACAAAGTGTTAAATCTGAACATATATGTGGGGAAAGTTATTTAGGCGGAAATCACGGGTATCCGATGTATTATGAAGGGTTTGTCACTGATAAATGTTCTTATGGTGTACCGATTTCAGAACTGGTAACTGTGATTAAATATATAGCAAAACCAAGTGGTGATGGAAGCTTATTAGCAGATCTGATTGATAAATTCATTATCTCAGTCAAAAGCGTTATGAAACACTTTAAAATTTTAATAGCACTCAACACCGAAAGTTATCCGAATAATACTGTTAATAAATATCGAGGGGTAAAAATTATTACATCAAAATATAAGTCTGAGGGGGCTGCACTAAACAGTTTGATAAAAGATGTTAAAACTCCGTATGTCTTATTTGCAAGAAAAATGAATACATTCACAAACGATTCAAGGTTAGAAAGACTAGTTAGAGAAATAGAAAGTATAAATGTGACAGCTGTGGGTGGTGCGTTCCGTGAATCAAATGGTCATTGGAGGAAAGGATGTTTCCAGTCGGTGTATAGAAATTACACTTTGAAGTATATGGAGGGATATGATGAGTCATATCATGAATGTTTGTTTTGTGATTATATACAAGGTCCGTTTATAACAACTACGACATATTTAACGGAAAACATATTCAAAAGTCTTGAAGAAAATAGTGGATTATACGAAGATTGGTTTCTCAGAATTGCTCAGTCAGGCCGGGAAACAATTGTTTGTCCAGACTCTATGTTCCATATAGAAAGCCAAAGCACTAAGTTGAGTTCAAACTGGGTATCCTTTTCTAAACATTGGAATGTTTTCAAGGTCATTACACCAAATGGTGAGACAATAACTAGAAGTTGTGAAAAAGTTGAGATAAATAGTAAACCGACGAAAGCTCTGTCACCTTGTGCGATAAAATTATACAGTGATGGTATTAAACTAATTATGCAAAAATGTGAGGAAACTGGCACAATATGTGAATTACAGGAAGGTACCGGGTTAGGGGCTGTCAAGTTAGGGAAAATTCTCCCCTGGGACATAGACTACGATTTGCGATTTTCCCTTAAAAATTGTTCGGCCTGTGAGCATCTTGAAACGGCATTTAAAAACGTTCCAATTAAAATCGATCATTTCTCACCTAAATGTTGTAACAATATACATGATGCTGTTAATTTCCCAATTTATTACAAAGGTAAATATGGTGATTTTACTGGTCATCCTGTAATGGACAGCAAAATGCTTTTTTCAAGCGGTATAGCTCCTACAAAACTTTCATTTGACGGACAATGGGCAAATGCCCCAAGAAACCCTGGAATGGCTTTGAGGAATAGATATGGTAGAGAGTTGTACAGACATGCTGATCATTGGAGGCATACAGGACATAAATTCCATCGACCGAACTATACAACTAATGTGTTTATACCATGCAAAAATCCAGGTGCACATAATTGCTTAGATAGATACAACGGTGATGGCGATATACAATTTACAGTGTTGCTTCCATAAGAAGATAAAAAAATATTTATATTTTGCATTGATCAACAAAACAACAGTTTATACATCTATATATATGTGTATATAAAAGATTTTTCCTTGCTTCTCGGTGAGTAGTGTGTATGAAGTAGTTAACCAGACAAGCGGAGAGTCAGATTTTTATCAAAATATTTTGTAATTTGCAGTAAAAACAAATCAAATATAATGTACAATCTAAATATAGAAGAAGAATAAATTGAACAAGTTGCATGATGAACAGGTCAGATAAAAATCTAGCACTCCGCTTATCTGGTACGCTACACCATATGTACAACATAGAGAATCAAGGGGAAAAAACACTCTCATTCTCACTTTAACACGACATTTCATAAATTAATGCTAGAACTGAAAAATGAACTTTCTTGTATATTTGAATTCTATTTCATTTCATAATTAATTGTATCTCGACATCTTAAATGTAAAATATTTCCAGTACAGATGATACTGATGTCCTAGCCTAGAGTTTTCCCTATGGCAGCTTTTCTAGATAGAATCAGAAAATAAATTTCGTCATCTAATCGAGACGATGGTCCTTAAATTTGTGCAGTTGGTGTGGCGATTTTATTAAATTTCTAAGAATAAACTTTCTTTCATCTTACTATATGAACATCTTGGAAGGGGGTCAATTATTTAAGTTACGCAAACTATATCTATTTAAATCAAGTCGTGGAAATGCATTTCATACCGAATATGCTTACATTTTATTTTCAAAATTTAATAACCTTACAAAATCCCCAGATATATACAATGGAAAAACTAGAAAATGTATTCTTATTGACGAATACTTGATATTGTCTACTTATATATTATTCAACTGTCAAATGTGATATATATATTGACAACTTTTTATGACTCGTAAATGATTTTTCAAGTGTCCCTAAGTGACCCAATCAATGCTATGGATTGACAGAAAGAAATACGTGTTAATACTTTGAATAATATATTTAGTATGATTTAAGATTAACTTATACTTATCTATTAATATGGAGCAGATATTCTTTTTGCAAGATTGGGCCTTATTAACAATGATTAAACAATTAATATAATAATAAAGTAAATATTTTATTTGCAGATGCATAAATTATCATATCCCATTGAAATAAAATATCTGTGAAAATGTTATTAAGATTTTAGAAATTATTCATTTAAAGAAAAATACTGGATAGTTCTCACAATATCTGCTACAAAGAACCTACTACCATACAATTAATACAATATACTCCAAAATGATTGCGTTTACACCAATAGTGTGGAATTAAATGTCCTAGTCACAGGCAGGAGTATCGGACCTGGGATGAAAATATATAACCAGATTGATAATTAAACCTGTGTTAATCTTAAAAGTGTCAAAAACCAAAAAAAAAAAAATTGAAAAAATGACCCCCTTTAAAATATACTATAAGTTAAGAGAAGGCCGGAAACTCCAGATTGGAGCCTACGAGCAAGGGATTCATTTCCCGAGCCGTTGTGAAAACAATTGGCCGGACAATTAAAAACGACTTATATCACTATTTAACGTTTGTATTAAGCTTCCAAATGAGACCGACCCCAAGTCTCTAGCCCTTCCCATTCATGAAATATCTATCAGGAAACGAGCGAATTCTTGCAAAAAATTGTTGGTAGACAGAAATGCGGCACAACGATTCGGTACGTAAACATAGACTAATACATGTTTGTCAGCTGAGTACGGGTCAAAATCACTTGAATTTACTAAATAATATTACTAAATACATTAAGTTGGACCACTCACAAGCGTCAGTAGCACCTGATACACACGAGATTTGAGTTTCAAACATTTACACGGTCTTTCAATCGCTTTCTACGCCATTATGCATCCTTGTGTGAAACGTTGCGGTTTCGTTGCTATTGGCCAATCAGAAGACTCGTTACAAAATATCGAACAGCTGATTGACAATGGCGTTGAAAGGAATCTAAATGCCGTGGAAAGGTTTGAAATTCGAATTGTAAGTGTATCAGATGCTACTGACGGGTGTGAGTGGTCCAACTTATGTATGTATATTATTAGTAAATTCAAGTGATATTTAGTATTTACGTAACCGAATAATCTGTCTACAACGATTTTTTCACGAATTATTTAGTAAATTCAAGTGCTCGTAGGCTCGAATCTGGAGTTTCCGGCCTCTCTTAGCTTATAGTATATTTTAAAGGGGGTCATTTTTTACAATTTTTTTTTTGGTTTTTGACACTTTTAAGATTAACACAGGTTTTATTATCAATATGGTCATATATTTTCATCCCAGGTCCGATACTCCAGCCTGTGGTCCTAGTACTCAGTGAATATTCCACTATTATTTTACCATTTACGTGACAGTTCAGTCACTATTATGATATAGCCCAGTCATTTCACGTTGTGGCATTTATAAGCATACATGTATTGTCAAACACACGGTTTTTAATAGCTTGTAAATGGTTTTGAAAAAATGATGCTTTTAGAATACAAATTAACGTGAATTCTTTTAAGATGTACTATGTTAATCCGCGGGTAAAATATTTTCAACACAGAAAATTTATTGAAATCTATGAAATTCTAACTGCGTATGTCTGTTTCCTATTACAGGTCAAATAAAATCGCATTTTCTATAAAAGAAAAACAGCCGGTCTTTGATACAAAGAAACAGCGTAGCAATTATCAATATTCTATAATAATGCAATAATGAAATAAGCTTCATTTAGTTGAAGACATTCTGTTTTTCTAACGCCTTCCATGCAAAAGCGATTGTCACTAGCAAAGTCAAACTCAAAAGCGATTACACTTGCGCTCAAATTAAATCATAGATACAATACCAAATTGTTAAAACATTTTACATGAATGTTCGGGCATATATATTTCCACCTATTGTCATAGAACATGGAAGACATGGAATGTCGTACTTAAGTGAGAATGAGTGTCAATAGCCTGTTTTACCAAAGGCATATATAAGCAGTAATCGTCGTTTAACATTAAAACATTGGATAAAATGATCTCGAAAATAAATCAAAATCAAATAAGTGTAAGACAATATAAAACAGAAGAAACTAATAAACTATTAATTGTTTTGTATGTTTTTGAAAACCAAAATAATTATATACGCGCTGATGCTTAGCATTTAAGAATCAGTAATTGTATAGATGTATTATACTGATTTGAGCCAGCATTTTTAGCTTATTATGCCCCCACTTCATAGAAGAGGGGTATATTGATTTGCATTTGTCTGTCTGTCGGTCGGTCCGTCCGTCCGTCCGTCGTATACCAAATGGTTTCCGAGTGATAACTAAAGAACACTAAGGCCTAAGAATTTCAAACTTGGTATGATGATTGGTCATGACAAGTAGATGACCCCTATTGATTTTGGGGTCAAGGGGTCAAAGGTCAAAGTTACATTGACCATGTAAGTAAAAACGGTTTCCAATCAATAACTAAGGAACGCTTAGGCCTAGGAACTTCAAACTTGGTATAATGATTGGTCATGACCCGTAATTGACCCTATTGATTTTTGTGTTAAGGGGTCAAAGGTGAAGGTCACATTGACATTTTGGGTAAGAACGGTTTCCGATCAATAACTAAAGAATGCTTAGGCCTAGGAACTTCAAACTTGATATGATGATTGTTAATGACCAGCAGATGAACCCTATTGATTTTCGAGTCAATGGGTCAAAGGTCAAAGTCACATTGACCTTGTAGTTTAAAACGGTTACTGATCAATAACTAAAGAACTCTTAGGCTTAGGAACTTCAAACTTGGTATGATGATTGCTCATGACCAGTAGATGAACCCTATTGATTTTGGGGTCAAGGGGTCAAAGGTGAAGGTCATATTTATCTTGTTGGTAAAAACGATTGACGATCGTTAACTTGACAATCCATGAGCTGTTGGCCCTCAAACTTTGAAGGTGCATTGGTCTTAGCCGGCAGATGACGCCTATTGATTTTGGGGTCAGCGTCATATTGACTTTGTACTTAAAGACAGTTTCTGACCAATAATGCTTTTCGTATACACATTTGAAGGTCTTATGTAGTATTAAAACTTGGATGTAATAAATGAGGCCTACATGATTTATAAAATGTATGCATATATTATTTGGTAAGATTTGTAATAACGTTGTCATTAAATTGCTGCACACAACTTATGCGGTCACAATAAGTATTACCTAGTGACTAGTCATGACCAGTAGATAACCCTCATTGATTTTTTGTTCACTAGGTCAAAAATCAGTCATTATAACCTGATCACATGACTAATTGGCTGCTGATAGGGGGCATACATGTTTTACAAACATATCTTGTTTTTAACAGTCTATTTATAGCTAGTATTTTATAGCTAGTTATATTTATTTTGTTTTATCACCGATTTTAAAACACTTTTGGTCATATGATTATTTACATCAGTGGTTAAACACCAGGTTTACCGTGAACAAAATATCGCAAACCCTTAATTTAGAATAATGTCGTTTTCCTCAGGCTCTTCTTATCACTTCCTCGTGGTCAAAGGGTTGCACGCTCGTTTAGGAAGCAAGAGGTCTGGAGTTAAAATCCCAGGCGAGGCAACTCATGTTTTTTTATATATATATTCAATTGTTAAAGCCAAATAAACATTAAATTGAAATTAGCCTAATAGCCAATTTACTTCAGTAATAACACTGGAAACAGCATTGGTTGCACTAGCAAAAACAAATTGGTTTATAATCTCACAACCTTCACCTTTCTGACATTCTGAGACCCAAACAAATTCATTGCCTTCTGTGCTTTGATTTTTAATCAGCGGTGAGAAACAAACACCGACTCCTGAACTATAAATCTCGTTATTGAGCTGACCGGGCGGACTGCACTCACCATAATGCCTTACCTTACCAATGTTATGATGATCATGTATTATAAAGCAAATTTATAGACAAGTTTAAATGCTGTAACATATTTTTTTTTAATTATAATTTTTTGCTTTTCGTTTTTGCTATATTTGCTAGGTTACATTGTTTGTTTTGCAATGTTTAATTATACTTTATACAATCATGACTGTATGTTTTATCAATTTAGGTCACAATTAGTTATGCACTTTATGCATTTTAAGCAGTCAGCAATTTTTTTATTATCCAAGTAATTTGTAAAATGCTTGTGTTATAAAATCTATTTAAATTTACCGTTTATCATATTTCTTGTGTATCTGTCTAGGTTTTGTTGCTAGATTCTATGACTAGATTATGTGGCTGGATTTTGTGGACTTCATATATCATGAATAGACAGTTCTGTACCGTTTACTTTTATTTAAACAAATTAAAGATTAAAGAAAGATCGAAGATTAATGTTGTTTGTTATACTTATCATAGTAAAATACGATGATTTTTTGTCATATCTGAAATGAAAATAATTAAAAAAAATGTAATTAAGATATTTTTATGAGGTTATCAACCTGCTATCGGTGGTTCATTCATGAATCATAAAAAATGTCTGCATCTTGTAAGGTATTCGTGTCCCCTCGCCGATTATTCATTATCATCTCGGAGATGATAGGGGCGTCCGTACCCGAATTGTAAAGGTCGCTGACTTCAAAACATTTGCCTCTCTCCGCTGAAGGTTCGAAGCCCGGTTCTTATTTATTCATTTTTTATTTTAAGCTGGATTCCTATAGCCCGTCTATTGGGTGATAAGTTTGCTTTTATTGGGTGTCTATGTCACACTGGCATTTTAAAGGTCATAAGGCCTTCCGTGCATTTTTTCAAGCATGAGCGAGTCCCTGAATAACTCCCAAGTTTTCTTGTGAAAGCATAAATTATATCTGTCAATCAAAGTTAAAACCAATTTAAGCCAAATTCAATTATTTTACTTCAAAGGTCAATGTCATTAAAAAGTGGTTGTCCGATTTAGGTTGAACTCATTGAAGGTGTTGTCCAAAAAGCTGTTTTGTCCAAGTACATATATACTCCATTAATTAATATCAAGTTATAGCCATTAATACCAATATCGAGCAAGATAAAACATTTTTACCTTTTCAAGGGGCATAACACTCAGTTAAATTATCTTGCAGGAACATGCCAATTATATACCCGTGTCCTTTTGGTATGGATAGTTCAACCAGTAAGCGGTTGCTTGGATATAGCGCGAAAATTAATGTTACTCTGTTTATGTTCTGCATTGCTTATCAGAGGCAACAATTATGAGTTGAATGGTCCGACCGGAAGGTTCCAAATGTTTCGCATGACGAAACAGCTTTCGGAATCTTGATTGATTCTTTATCTACCAAAGTTAGTAAGATTTTAAGCGGAATTGATCTGACTGTTGTCCAATCGTTTCCATAGGTTCATCGGATGTAAAAATTGTACCTGTTTTATTGATGTACCACCACAACGATAAGTTTGTTTTTGTTTAGCATGAACGTAAAACAACTACCAGACCCCAGTAAATTTCTATCTGTCCCATCTCTGCAAGTTACCACTATGAGGGATATAAATAATTGACTAATAATTGATTAATCAAAGATTAAAAATTGATTATTAATAGATTTATAATTAATCCTACAGTCATTTGCACTGTACCTCTTCTCTGCATGGCATATTTTAAATTATCATATATTGTTCGTTAGATGCACAGATGCATTTAGAAAAGGAAAATTAACCATTGGTGCTTTATTTATTCTGACAATGTTTCAAAATTGTATAAATAATAATAAGCGTATGTTTAGGGGGGGTTAGACTTTACACACAATTTGCTCTGTTTCATATGAAATACGGGGATTACTTTAATAAATATGATTTTGTTTGGTTTTAAGGAAATATATATGACCTTAGTTTTTTCTGGGAGCAGTGATAGGCATGCGATTCAAATCACACCATTTGTTGGCATTTAAAAGATCATGAGTAAGAGATTCAACAACTCTGTTAAGGGATACATCAGAGGTTGAAAGGGTGGTGTCATCAGCAAAAATACCAGTTTCTGTTTTTTACATAGACAAAGGCAGGCCATTGATATAGATTAAAAACAGTATAAGACCTAGCACTGAGCTATGACGAACTCCAGTAGTTACTGAACTTGGCTCTGAATGTAAACCAGATATGTAAGTTTTTTGGGTCCTGCAATCTAAATAGGAGGAAAACCAAGCAACTGATGAAGGGATAAGGTTATAAGCTTTTCAATAATATTAGAGTGATTCACATAGTCATAAGCTTTAGAGAGATCAAGGAAAATTGAACAAACTATTTCATTTTTGTAAATAGCTGTAATCCAATCATCAATAATTCTAATCAATGCAGTTTGACATGAATGATTTGACCTGAATCAAGACTGACGTTGGTAAAGAAGATGATTTTTCTCAAGGTATTGCTTTAAATGTGAACTGCCATGACGTTCAAGAAGTGATATCAAGGGAAGTATAGAAATTGGCCTATAATTACTTTGATCACTTTTAGAACCCTATGTATAGAAATGACTTTGGTATTTTTGAATGATTTAGGAAATGTATTGTTTAGAATGCTATTATTGAATATAGTGGTAAGTATGGGAGCAATGATATGGGCCGATAACTTTAGAAACCTTGCACTGAGACCATCATCTGACCCACATGTCTTGTAATATCAATCGATTTTAATTGGTTCAACACATAAGTGAGTTCTATTTTAGGTATTTTGAAAGGGGGAAACCAGATAATTCATTGAGACCAGTCCATAAATTCTTTGGGTTGTGTTTGTTTTGATTGATGGTATCATTATAATATTGTCGCTTACAATCATATATGAGAGAATTAACGTGTTGTTTCCATATGTTGTAATTATATGTGTCATTAACTCTATGAAACTGGTTTTCTGTTTTAATAGCATCGAGGACGTTTTATTAATCCAGTTCTGTTGGGTGACCTTCTTTACTCGTTTTTTTCTGGTTGGTGCATGTCAAGGACAGACACAAATTTATCATTGAACAAATATATAGAGTTATCTTGATTTTCTACAGATCTATACTACTTCTGACAAGGATTGCTCTGACAATTCAGTAAAAATCAATTTTCATCAAAGTGTTTAAGAGACAGGAACAATTTTGTCTTATGCATGGGACCTTTAAGGTGACAACAGACACTTTCCGTGGTACTCACATAAATGTCATTTAAACCAACTTATTTTAGTGATAATTGTTATTTATTTAATCTTTGTGCATTAAATGTCGTGGATCATCATAAAAAATAACATATTTGAAAAATGCCTCTGTAAATGATTGATTATTAATAAAAATCCTAAAATTTTAAATCGTCATATCAAAGTCATTTTTTTATTTTTTTGTCATCAAACTTTTGGAAAATAAACATACTTTTAATATCTGGGGAACCGTGTCGCAATTTTTTTTATCTTTTCTCAAAAAAATATCACGTAACGTCAAACATTTTATGCGACTTTTTTCACCATACATATTACGTAATTAAAGATAATTAAGCCGCTGATTGAGCAAACAAAATCCCTGACACGGTTCCCTCCGTAAATGAATTCGCTTTCACGTGCTTTAAACCGCATGTTAATTGCTTGATTATTAAAAAAGTTATGCCGATTCAAAATTAGCCCAACCCGCATCAAACGAAGTGTCATAAGTCGGCTGTTCTCTCTCGGACCCCTACGTTTCACGCTAAATAATTGCATAATACACAAATATCGCACCAGAGAGGGTCACAAGTTGCGGTAACATACTCTAACAACATTTTATGACCCAGTGATATCTGACCAATTAAAAAGTTGCTGATTAATATCAGTTTATAACAGAAATTTCTTCAAATCTTAACGTGATTTATCGTCCGTCTGGTATCGGTCGCCCATGTCACGTGACTTTCGGTAGAATTTGAGGCACTCGGTGGGGGAAATGGAAAGTATTTGCACACCGCTAGCTGGGTATTTAATTGTTTCACTTTTGAAGTTTATTATTATTATTATTATTATTATTATCAGCATTTCAGCATTATTATTATATTTTACCAGTGTCACCCTGTGTATTCGTTAATGAAATTCCGTTAAAATATCAATTAAAATAACAAAAAACTGAGCTTCTGACGGTCTTTTAAAGTCCATGGTAGATGTAGAAATAAGAACAGCTAGGATATTATATATTTTTTTCCTCCAAATTGATATAAATCTTAGACAACCTAAAATGGTATAGAAATTTGTCAGGGACACCTTACCACAAGTCATATAGGCGTTCACAATAAAAATGTTGTTGTTTTACTTGACATTGTTAGTAAAACGAGGTTGAATGTAAAGCGTACAAAGTCCATAAACTCAATGTAATATCTATCAGATTAACGGGACAGACAAATAATTTTCACACATTATATGGATATTTTAGCAACTATATTTTAATCAACCCCGTGGTCGTGCTATTTGCCGCTATGCTTAATTATTTCATCGTCGGATACCCACGATTGATAATCATGTCACATAACATGCAGTAAATGATAAATGTTAATGGTTCGGCCGTGGGTATCCGACGATAGCTTATTTATGTTTCATACATTATGTTACGTACATTGGCCGACAATTTCTTATTTTATAAAAAGGCTAAATAAAAGGTAGACGATATTCGGTATTTGTATGATACATGAATTACGAGTAGTATGGACCAGTATGGACCGGTAATTCACGCATATATGGAACTACCGATTTCCCTCATTGTTGCCTCAACAGCGGGCGGAGCGTTATCGATAATTGACAGGTTACGCGAATAGCAGATAAAAATGGTAAAGGTAACGTAATAAAACGTTTAAAAACACATTTTTTGGACTAACTGCTCCCAAAATTAAATCACGAATGTGTTCAAAAAAGATGGATAAAGCTACTAAGCAAAAAATCTCATTTTAGGTATTTTCAATGATAATTGACTCCGTTGTCACCTTAACACTGATGTTTGAAAGTTTGCATGTAAGACAAACGGGAAAATGGTCGCTAATGGATAAGGAAGGTACCAAAACATCGACTATTTTGTGAGGCATGTTTGAAAATGCATGATCTATCAATGTAGCAGAGCTTGAAGTTACTCAGGTAGAAGATCAACAAGCTGAGAAAAATTTACAGACTGCATTAGATCTAACCAAGATTTAGAACAATTATCACGTTGTTAAAATCTTAAATAACAATACATTCTTTTCCTCTAAATATGATTTTCTAAGGATTCAGCTAAATAATCAAGCCACTCAACTTTAGAAGATGGTGGTCTGTATGCATAACACAAGTTCAAGCCAAATAAATTAAATAGAAATACTTTCTAAATCAGATCTCGTATGTATAAAAAATAAACAGTCTTACATTAACTGTTTTGTCATTCTAAAATTTTACTTTGTTCAATACCAAATAAAGAATCTAAAGAGTCTCCTCCCTTTTTAACGAGTGAACCTTGATTTAACGTATACAATATTAGATTAGTAAACATCAATAATTTAATCCATATTTTTATTATTATTATTATTATTTATTTATTTATTCATTTATTTTATTTTATTCTTTTAATATGTTTTTGTTGCTTTTACTGCTATACCAAATATCGAATTTCTATAAAAGTTATTTGTGGAAAAGTGTAAAGAAAGGTAGATCTAAATGACTGAATAAATTATTCACGACTAACGCATACTTCTGTTTTTTTACTTCTATAAACCTGTATACGGTTTACAAAGGTTAACCTGTTCCGGTCTACATATTACGGTGTACATCCGTTATTCAGTGAAGTTTGGTAATCAAACATAAAAAATGATGCTTTTAACTAATTAACAATACAATCATAAGACGGTGCGAATTCAAGTAGAACGGAATAAGACTAGCGTTTATTTGGTTTTACTTTAATCAAAATGCGCATTGCTGGTGTTTAAAGCAAACAGTAAAAAAGGATAAAATTACACGCTGTCAATTAAATTTTAAATTTGAAAATCAGACGAATGTAAAATATGAATTATTTGAAGCATATTTGGACATTAAAACCATTATTTGTACCATTGCTAGCATTCCTGCTACCTATCAGCTTAGTGATAAATTATCCATCGGACTTTGAAAGTGTAAGTAAATGTTTTATGCATACATTATAATAACTGTTATTCGTAGAAATCACGTCATAAACGATTGGAATAATATATTAGAATTATTTAAAAGTGCATTGTAAACCGAATGGTGGCGTGTTACTGTCTTAAATAATGTAAAGAATAAGCACTTAATTATTATAAACAAAAAAATCAGATTAATTTGAAAATTGTGTTTTGCATTTTGACATCTAGTCCTATGCATTTAAATCGTATGTGATATTTTATTATAACATTATACCGTTACTGGTCAGATGAAATTGATTATTTCCTAACATCCATGTGTCAGGTTTAAGCTTATCAAACTACGTTTCATGCCGAATTGGTGCAAAAAAACTTGTAACGTTTTGATTGTTTTTAATCAGAGGTAAAAACGCACGATTGTCATAAAATGATTGCAAGAACGCCGTGAGATGAAGAAGTGACAGCCTCTTTTAATAGCTCAGATATACTACTAACATCAATATTGCCTGTTATTATTTGATTGTATAGTTACACGTAAAAAAGCAAGCAAATGTATAAAGATGAACACTCACTGACACTTACTGATCAATGTATAAAACGCTCGTATATGGGCCATTTCACTAAATGGAAAGAAATGAATTACAAGAATGACGAGATGAAGACAGTTTGTACAACAATGTGGCGTGTGCTACATGTCAAACTTCATCAACATAGTTAATTAATATCAATTATGTGACGAGGACATAAATGTTGTAAAATCCATCAACAAACCGTTTGAAGCACATGTACACTATTTTCTTATAACTTATTATTAAAGAATGTTCTACTTATTTGTTGTTTAACACTGAACCAGCAATGTCACGTCATTTTACTTTTACGTGTAAGCGCAGACTTTTACTGCGGTATAAGTAAGGTGAGGTGGTTTACACAAAAAAAATGATACAAAAATTAAAACAAAAAGCATCATATTGACTATTTTATTGTCTGAGTTTTAAGGAAAATCTTACAATTATAATTAAAGCATATATATGCACTATGGAATTTCTTCCATTATATTTCCATAACGATTCTTCATCTAGGTCAAAAAGAAAATATGCATGAAATTGTGTCCGTATTTGGGGTCAGGCAACTCTACTTTTTTGCGCAGGATTTTATTTCACAAACTACGAGAAAGGCTTTAATAACAATGAAAAGAGTTTAAATGTTTTCTTTAATAAAGTGAAAAGATTAGTGCATCTTTTTTAACCCAAAAAAGCAAAAGCAGATTTGTATAAATTTGATCTGTTAATAGTATAGGTTTATTTTTTCAGTTTTTGTATGGTTTGTCAATAAGTTTTAAACATACACGTAGTATTGCTTTTATAACAAAAAAGTTAAACCAATTTGACCTTTATGTTAGCATGTCTATTGTCTACTTTAACACTCGAGCAAATTCTTTTATTGTGGACAATGGGCAAAAGGTCTCGTGAACAGATTAAAATAAATATGACAAAGTTCAACGCCCTGTCATGTTGTATGACATCTTGGATATTTGACACGCATGTTTTTATGCCCTCCTCGTACAGTAAAGTTAAACCTTGAACTTAAATTTATGTTTTTAATGTTTTTGTGACCTTTTCAAGATATATCAAAGTTCGATATCAAGTAAGCTGTACGAATTCTATACATATCCGTGGTCATGATATTTCTTTCTGACTAAAAAAATGTCATTGATAATTTTGTGATTTTTTTTCAAGCTATTAATTTGCGTCTTTATGTACATGTGCTTAATCTATGTACAAATGGTGCATGGTCAAATGAAAAATTGGCTTCATCTGGAGAAATAGGACCACACATAACAGATAACTGCTGACCGTACTTGACTTAAAGAAGTAAAGCCAAATCCTTTAGCATTAACAATATGATCTCCAACCGGTGAAAGTTTTCGCTTTATTTTTAATGCGGCGTTTAATAAACAGGTTTTTGCAACAAAAATTGCTGTGTTGAACTGAAAATGACATTCTTATTATTGAAATACTGATCTTGGTAATCAGTGCATCACGGTCACAAGAGCTGGAAATCTGACTGATATATTTCATTCAAAGATTGTACTAAGATTATCTACGGCGTACAGAAACACCGTCGTTGCTGTACTGTATATAAATGGCACATATTGGTAAAAACGTAGACCGCCGTTGCAAAACAGTCATTACTGTACTTATGAGTGTTTAAACCTAAAGTACAGATTCTATAATCTGCTAAATATCCAAGTTTAAGTTACTTTCTGTGACTTATTTGACTTTTAATTACTATTTCAGTGAATATTTCTACTAAAAGGATGGGTTTCAATAGTAGCTCCGACACTTTCTATTAATATTAAACTTAGATTAACCCATTTCTGCATGAACATTTTGTGAAAAATGGCTGTTTTCGTTGAAAAGTATCCCTTTACAAGTTCAGATTGCTATAAAACTACAAAAACTGCTTCAATACTAATCAAACTTGGCCCAAATGTTGACTGGACCCCTGCCTTTGTAACAACATGCTCAGTCTTAAATTTCCTGTTACCATGGCAACGAGGGGACATCTCAGAATTGCCAAAAATCATTTTTTTTTGTTGATTTCTGCAATCAATATTGATTTCAAAGTGCTGCAACTTCTCAAAGGCCTGAGATAGACTCAAAGGCTTTTCAGCGTTGGTTACACGTTACCTTATGATAGACCTTGGGTCTTTTTTGGCCTCTCACAAGTCAAATATTCTCTTGGCGATGAGGGGGACTGCCGCCCCCTTCAAATCCCCCAAACAGAAGGGGGCACATCCTCCTTCTGGCAACTCCCTTTTGTACCAATTTGACGGGGGCGGCGCCGAAAAAGTGATTACTTTTTTATCAACATTTCCCAAACGAAAACATGTGTTTGGGGCCAAAAAAGGACATTTTTTCACTATTTGAGGCCTTAAAGAGGGGGTCGAAAGTAAGTTTTTTCGCGTATATATGAGGTAAAGGGTTAACAAAAAGTGATGAAAATACCTTAAATTACCCACAATCGCGTTTCTCCGTGTTAAAACGTGGCCTTACATATAATTTTGAAGAAAAATTGTTGTTTTGTAGAATTTTTTAAATTTTTTTCATTCACAAAAAATGATGAAAATACCTGAAGTTATCCACAATCGCGTTTTTTCCATGTTAAAACATGGCCTTACATATAATTTTGAAGAAAAATTGTTGTTTTGTAGAATTTTTTTTTTTTTTTCATTCAATAGTTTTTTAAAATGTTTGTGTGTTGTTTTACATAGACATTCACCTCTTTGTCCACTGAAATTATTCAGCTTGAAAAATAATTTTGAAGGGAGAGATGACCTAATGCTTAAGTTGTCTGCATCTCAACTCAGGGATCTTGGGTTTGAACCCTACAAGTGTCACAATATGTTTCCTTAAATGACGCAAGTCCTTGTTGTTCCAGGAAGCTGAGGCGAGATTGTTACAAATAAGATATCAGCTTTTATCACAATCAAACTAGAATAACATTTTTATTAATTAGTCGTGAGGTCTAACTGCTACTTACACAGGCTACACAGGTGCTAGGGGCGTGGGAGACTTTTCATTACCTCTTATGAACAGATTCAATTAAACAAGTTTGTAATTTTCAAGTATAATTAATAGTGATAGAATTATTATCTCCATGTTTATCTTCCAAGCAAAAAAAAACAAACCCCAGAAGTGCTATTCTTATACTGTTTGTTAAACACTTGGGTAGGGAACCAAACAGTAAAACCCTCGCAAGTAAGATTTGAACAATTAAGATTAAATCCGTTCATATACGTGCATTTCGTCCCGGACACATAATTATTAAAAATGAGCTTATTGACGAAATGTGTATGTGTTAACGATTAATGTGAAATGGGGCGATATCGTTGGTCGGCAAATAATTTTGAACTCTTAGAGACATTATAGCACTAAAACACAATTAAGGCTTAAATTGAACAACTGTATGGGTTGAAGTTGTTTATCTAAATCAACTATCAACCGACAAAGTCATAAAAATATATTATTTAAACTTAATCTCTTATTGGGGTATTGGATAAGTTCACGTACATCAAAACTGTTGCCCCACCTTCTAATTTTCGATTTGTAGTATTTTGTTTTTCAGTGTTAAGGTGACTAAATTTGCACCACAATTCTGTATGAGCTTTTACTAGCTCGAGTATATTTGCATATAGATTTCAAATTAGATCATATCAATAAAAGTATCAGTATGAAGTAAATATTTGCTCTATATTGTTTAAAGGAATCAAAATGTGCGTACGTGATAACAGTGATGGCGATATTATGGTTGACAGAGGCCATTCCAATACCTGTTACTGCATTAATACCAGTGTTCTTGTTCCCACTAATGGGAGTCCTACCAGCAGCCGATGTCAGCAGTTCTTACATAAAGGTACAACAGTCATGTTATAGTTATTATATTATATGAAACGAGTTGTTACGAGGATATGCGACACCGAGGGATGTTTCTGCTAAATAAATGGCGAGGCCGTCCGGCCGAGACAATTTTTTGCAGAAACATCCCGAGATGTCGCCCCAGCCAGTGTTATTCCCCAGTTACTTAAGAGTTTCATATATTATAGCTGTTTTATCGCAATTTCATTATTTTTGACATAAATCGGCACAAAATGAAAGAAAAATACTATGTGCTCTTCTCTCTGTCTCTCTCTCTTATGCCCTGTCACTTAATATATGACATATTCTGTAACCCAATATAAAATGACCCAATACAAGCTAATGTCGCCGTCGCCAAAATAAGAGAATAAAAAAGATGTACAACCCTTGAACACTTAAGAACGTCGAATGTTTAATTAAGTGACGGGTTGTAAACTTACCTTGTTGAGAAAGTAATGTTGATTTAAGATTTAAGGGCTTTTTTTGGTGAAAATGATTAATTCAGCTGATTTACCCTTTAATTTTTAGCAGTTGTATATATGAGAATAAATTTCGTTTCTTTAACTATCTTTGTTTATATTTTTTCTTTTTCTGCTGCTACTGTGAACGTTCGTATCCCAGCTGCCCCATTGAAACCTCTGTGTTAAAACTTCACTTATATACAAAGCGCAAAAAAGTCAACTGTTATATCTAATTTAGTTGATTTTTTTTCTATATGAATCAATGATAAACGCCACTGTTATAATATCAAAACAGTTTTCAAATGCTCATTGAAAATGTACAGATTATAATGGGTTAGAAAGTACAAAAAAGCTCCAAACCTTTCAATAAAGTGTGTTTTTACTTACAAAGATCTAAAAACTCAACAGTTTTGCGTCTGTTCATGTATATATTAAAGTAGAAAACCAAAAATAGCGGATGTTTATCAAGGAACAAATGCGTAATCATACAGTTTCTGCATTGTCGTTACTTTTTTCTTCATTGTCGTTACTATTTTCTTCATTGCCGTTACTTTTTTCTGCATTGTCGTTACTATTTTCTTCATTGTGGTTACTTTTTTCTTTATTGTTGTTACTATTTTCTTCATTATGGTTACTTTTTTCTTCATTGTTGTTACTATTTTCTTCATTGCCGTTACTTTTTTCTGCATTGTCGTTACTATTTTCTTCATTGTGGTTACTTTTTTTATTGTTGTTACTATTTTCTTCATTATGGTTACTTTTTTCTTCATTGTTGTTACTATTTTCTTCATTGTGATTACTTTTTTCTTCATTGTTTTTACTATTTTCTTCATTGCCGTTACTTTTTTCTGCATTGTCGTTACTATTTTCTTCATTGTGGTTACTTTTTTCTGCATTGTCTTACTATTTTCTTCATTGTGGTTACTTTTTTCTTCATTGTTGTTACTATTTTCTTCATTGTGGTTACTTTTTTCTTCATTGTTGTTACTATTTTCTTCATTGTGGTTACTTTTTTAATCATTGCCGTTACTATTTTCTTCATTGTGATTACTTTTTTACTTCATTGTTGTTACTATTTTCTTCATTGTGGTTACTTTTTTCTTCATTGTTGTTACTATTTTCTTCATTGTGGTTACTTTTTACTTCATTGTCGATACCTTTTTTTTGAATGATATATATGTTAATATTTTGTAATTCTTATTTTACTTCTATTTCATTTTTATGCTAAACTGAGTTTTATCTTATTAATATTAAAGCGGTTCAAAATATATTTTATATATTGATTTTCATACATCAGGACACCACAATGCTATTTCTGGGTGGACTTATTGTTGCCGTGGCACTAGAGGAAAGTGGGCTACATATACGAATATCACTGGGTGTGATGAGGATAGTCGGAGCCCAGCCAATATTGTAGGTCAAATTTGATTGGCAAATAATGTCATTTTAGGCCATTGCTTTTTCAGCCATTAAAAACTGGCAAATCCACAATTTGGCTATTACGGAAAAGAAATTATCAAATATGCAATGGTTTGTAGAGTAAACTCAACGAAAAATTATCATTCCACCATTTTCCAATTTAAATGTTGCATACTGGTAAAGACGGTTACAGGGCGGCATGGACGGTAGCGTGCACTTACCATTTCTGTCTATAAAAAGGCTCAGTCGAACCAAGCCTAAAACATTTTCAATTTTGCCGTTTTGGGCAATCTATAAGGAATATATTTCTCAACTTATGAACAGGTTTTGTTAATATTTCAATACATAATGTTATGAATCATACCAACAGCGGCAGTGTCTTAATCAAACCAACGACATCTGAATTGGACAAAAGTAAGACCAAGTCGACCTTGATTCAATTTATGGGACATATTCTAATATAAATTGGTATTTCAGCCTGATGGCGGGATTAATGGCGACCACGTGGTTCCTGTCAATGTGGATAAGCAATACAGCAGCGACCTCTATGATGCTTCCTATAATTCAGGCTATCTTACAAAACATGGAAGATGTTCGAAAAAGTGCAATGGGTACCTGCTTTTCTTCTTGTTTGTAAAAAGGGCAACATTTACTCGTATAGTAATTGCAAAGAAAACCTGTATATCTGTGTACAAAAATAGTTTCATCGATACCCGAACAATATTGATTGTATATTATTATTAGGGATATCTCAAAATAATTCAAACCCTCTGATCAGCCCTCGAATTCCCTATTGAGTGATGTTTTGTAACCTTTCAACAAGTAATTTATATAAAATATTCATGCCAAATAAAAGGATATATCTTCTGCCAATAGTCAAAATTTTAATATTGACCACAATTGACTTAATCTCACACACTACCCATAACAATAACTGTTTATTTATTTCGTTATAATGGATGTTATCCGGAAGTTGGCAAATGTGGGATTTTCCATGCTAATTTCCCGGTACAAACAAACTTTTACCGTTATAGCTACACGTTACGGTAACAGAAAACTGTGACCGGTAAAAACAAGATTTGCGTCTAGTAGAATACAAATGTATATACATGCATTTAATTTATCAGATAACCTTGGTGAAGAAAATGCCGGATATGAAATTGGTTCCAGTACCGAAATGTCCAGTGGCATGTCATCGTTTGATACGGAAAGCGATGTATATTCTGCTAGTGATTTGCAATTAAAAGATTCCAAAGTTACACAAGACCCACTTCCAAACAACGATTTAGATAAAACAAAGTTTAATGGCGTGGCTGAGAGTAACATTGGCTGTGATTTAATGGATCCAAAAAGGTATGAAATATATTATATAAATTTTATTAATATGAAAAAGTGTATCCCTTTGGGCAAAGAAATAAACATATGTAGTATTTCCCGTGTGGCTGGTTATGACAGAAATGATACTCTGTCATAGTGTAAACTAATATATTTTTGTTCGATTGTGTTGGAAGCTAATAGCTTATTGAAACACTTTCGAATCGGTTTCTGGAACCAACCAGTACTAAGCAATGAGTGAAACGTTCCTTGCTCACTGAAACAACGGCTTGTAATTTGTTTGATACGATGTTTTAATTTTGAAGATAAACCATTGAGAAATACCAATACGTATACTTGCTTCTTCTCACTTTTATTAAAGAAAAGACAAAAAAAGATATATAAATAAACAAAACATTCTGCCATTGAAGATATACTATGCTCAGATTTAGTATTTGAAAATATTTATAATTGCTACACTGTCTCTTTGTAAATATGAAATAAACATCTTTTAACTGCATACAAAGTAGATATGTTGCATTTAAATTCTACACACTGTAGGTGGTTACAATATGAACATATACTGTAATTAAAAAACTTTTGTTTTTAAAGAAAAGACAGCTTTTACTTGACATGTAATAGGGAAAGCAGCTTCCAATACATAATTCATTCATTCTTTTAATCAAATTAGACATATTCGGTAAGACTTTTAAACATTAAACTATTTTACTCAACGATGAGCATAGTATATCTTTAAGCCTTATTAACATTACTTTTTTACACATCATTGCAGTCATTTCTACACGGTCAATGCCACAAATACAGAGAATGTTGAGCGCGATGAAAGCGAGGCTAATTCAGAACCAGTGTCCAGTAGTCCTGAAATTCGACGCATTGCTAAAGCTTTTGCCTTGAGTGTAGCCTATGGTGCAAATATTGGAGGTATTGCCACCCTGACTGGTACCCCGCCGAATCTTGTATTAAAACAAGAGGCTGATAAGTAAGCATATATTTCTCTTCTTATCGTCTTAAATTTGGACTGCATGTTTTCGTTTTGAAAAGAAAACTCGTCACAATATATAATTAATGGCTTCGGGCCATAGACCTTCCTAAGTCTGACCAACCAGTCGTAAACTTGCATATTGCTCTCAAGGCCATGCTTTATTTGTTATATTATACCGAATCTAAATCCTTACATCCCTTTTGTTGTTGTCATTTGTACTATAATTTGCTTTCAAATAATGATTTTATTTGTTCAGTGTGAAATATCTTAAACACTAGTCGGATTGTTTTATTATTTTCAAGCGATGCAGCAAAAAAATCATGCACTTATTTAATATACCATTTTTGTTTTTAATCAAAATAAATATTTTATGTTACTAGGCAAAAAAAACCGGACTTAAAGAATTTCACAATCTGTATAATTAAATTAAAGACAAATCATGACTTTTGATCAACATGTAATAAATTTATGTGAGACATTACAATAAATTCAGTAAAAGGAATCATTTATCAACACATTGAAATATAATACCTTATTTGCATACGCCCTTCTAAATTTAATATAACGTCATCCAGTCCATATAAGAATTATGGACTGGGTAGCCGGTCTGTAGGCGATTTATGGACTGGGTGACGTCATATTAGATCTAGAAATGCAAATGAGGTATATTATATGTATATTAAGGCCATAATGTTATATGATTTATGAACTGCTAAGTAAATGTAGGGCTTTGCTTATGTTCTCTCATTCATAGTTTCAATCGCTCGTTCCCTATGAATACAGATTAAAGGTAATTTTTAAACTTACGGAAAAAATTGAGCGAACTTCAGGGTAAACTTAACTTGGACTATCTTCAGGGTTAACTCATTGAACTGTTTTTTCGTATATTTGTAGGTTGTATAAATTGTACACCGGCGAAGAGTCCGAGATATCGTTTGCAAAATGGATGGGTTTCGGTTTCCCTCTGTCCTTATTCACTGCGGTGTTTGCATGGTTGTGGTTAATTCTACTCTTCATACGCTGTGGGTAATGTCATCTTTCATTTAATTGTATAAAGAAATTATATGACCTGGTATAAAACGTTGTAAGTTTATATAACCCGATCTATATTGGGTTATAATACCAACAACCACTTTAACACTGCCATATAAGCTGTCAAAATATTGATAACGAATCTATACGATCTCGTATAATTCCGCACAATTCCATTATTTGAGGAAAAATGAGAATTGTTTTTACAAATTGACAGTATCCGTGTATTTAACTCGTATAAATCATGCAAATTAAAATTACGAACGTACAGTAATTTAATTATATATGAAAAGAGAGCATTTGTATAAGAGGCCAGGAAAATATAGTTGATAAACGATAAATGTTTGCGTCAAGTAACAGCCATCACACGCAGTACTGATTGCTATATTGTGCACATATTGAATTTTCCATGAAAGTACTTGTATTTCACCTTGCGTAGAATATCCATTAATTGACTTTTATCTAATAACTTTCTTTGTTCTTCAACATCAAAATGTAGTGCTCATTATCATTTTTTGAATGAATTCTGTATTTTCGGCGTCCCGGTATGTATCTAATATTGATCAGAAAATGGACGTATTAGAATTAATATCTTTACCAAAATACAACTACAGTTGACTGATATTTCAAATACTTACTTACTTCTCCAACTCAAAGTATCTTATTCATATTAACTAATTTATCAATATGTTTACTTGTAGATGCTGCAAGAAAGCAAATGCAGAAGAAAGAGCAGCTATAAATAGAACGATTAAAACTCATTTGAAACAGCTCGGCAAACCATCGTACGTATTTTTTAAACGCACATTGTGGTTGAAATTTCCTTTATGTAACTTATTTTTGCGTGACGGTGCAATATAGCTGAAGAAAGTATAGCACTACAAATCACTGCTTGTTTAACTTTTGTCACCCTTCCCCTTCAATTTATTGCGAACACCATGTTAAAATGGGTATGAAAACGGAAAGCCGATGTTTTGTTTTATTAGCTGACATAATTTGACCATAGATCTTACAATCTAAAAACGTGGATTTGCATAGACTTTATTCAAATAATTATTTTATTGTTGAACTTTAAAGGATTTTTATCTATTTTAACTGAATGTATAAAAAACTTCCTTTTCAAATTGAAATTAAGTGCAAAATACATTAAAAATCAACATTTTTAGTGATGATTATTACCAAACATAAAATCTTTAAAAGTAAGAAAGTTCAATAGAAAGTGTGTGAAAAGAAGTCATCAAATGCTGTATGATAAATAGTCATCAAAAGCTGTAGTCGTGATATACATGTTTTAACAAATGATTCACATATCTCCCCCACCCCATTCAAGGCTTCAGTTGACCAGTATGTTGTTTTTTTTCTGTTATTATAGGCTGCGAGAAACTCAAGTTATGATTGTTTTTGTTTGTCTTGTATGTCTATGGTTATTTAGAGCTCCTCCTAATATACCAGGATGGGGACGTGCAGGTTCTTTAAAGAAAGGGTAAGTACTTAGTCCAATGTTATATTTTATGATGACTGCTAATGGGAAACATTTTTTTTCTCCAAGCGACACCAAGTTTAATATTTGATGCACTCCGTCTTGTCATAGTTTGCACTTTTCTCTATTCAGTCTCTTCATGTTTTTCATTTTCCCTAAATGTGATCTGAATGAAATAGAGATATGTTCATTCAAGAAATTTAACGGTTTAAAGGTTAAATGACAGACTTTATGTTTGTTAGCCTTTATTTCAACAATATAATATCATAATAATTATAAACGATTTATTGTGTGACAAAGTTAAAAAAAAAAAAGTTGTTGATGAGTAGCTTACCCAAAGCTTATTTTATCAGAAAAAGAAATAACTTAAATACGTGTAGTTGACTGCGTCACTAATGTATCACAAGGAACATATCTTAAATAAGGATAAACTATTCCTGGAAGTATTTGTGAAATTCAAGGTAAAAAAAATGAAAAAGAAAAGTAGTATATTAATGCACTGTGTCTGGATTTTTACGTTTCCTGCTTTTTCCATAAAAATAAGACATTTTGTAAGTTAACTTCCTGTTTGATTTATTTTCAGATTTGTCTCAGATTCTACACCATGCATTTTGCTCAGCATTCTTCTGTTTCTACTTCCGGCGGAAAAGCCTAGAGTTTTTTGGCTTGCAAAAGACGGTAAAGCTTGTTTATAAAATATACGGATAAAATAAAGTTATTTTCGTATAACCAAAACAATGATACTGACTGTTTCCGATGTAGTATATTAGAAATTTAATCTTTATTTCAGACAAACCATCATACACTCCCCTCATAGACTGGAAGACAGTTTGTCAGAAGCTTCCCTGGGGTGTTATAGTTCTACTTGGAGGCGGATTCGCCATTGCAGATGCCAGTAAGGTATGTGTATAAGATTCGTGCCTTATATAACTACAAGAACTAACATATATATGGTTTCGTACTTAAAACTCTAAGCTACGAGCATATATTTCAAAGACAACCGTAAATAAATTTAAAAACAATTTTCTCTAGAAAGTTGCGAAGGCGTAACATTTTTAAAGTACATTGTATTCTAAATTTGTGCACAACAAATGAATTGTAAGACATTTTTTTCTAAGTTATTTATTTCTCCTTCCTTTAAATATATGTTAAACATACGGTAGACTGGTACACTATTAAGTTTTATTATTTTAACCATCAATCACTTTTATAACTTCAACTAAAATATTTTACCATTTGTAGAATGTTATAGCGGTTTTGCCATTATATTATTTAGTTGAAACGCTTCTGATTCGGAAGTTTGTTTAATCTATATTTGTTATCATTATTACATTTACATATGTCACTATTATAATAAAAGATTTGATTTCTTACGAACGTATTGATAATGATTGGATGGTATTTGTCATTAAAGGTAACATTCTTAGATTTGACAGACGTGTACAATATATTTATTATTTCGTTTCATCCACAGTGTAGACATAAACTGTAGACAAAAGTTTCCGTTACTTCAAATAATTAGTTTGAATTACTTTATTTCTTTTAGTGTTAACATCACGGTATAGAACATTCTTTAGAATATATCAATATCATTCCATTTGATTATAAACAGCTCATGTATGCACTACATAAAGTGAAACTATGAAGTACTAATATTACATGTTCCTTATGGCTTTTGTATTGGATATCGTTTTACAGAAATCTGGCCTGTCCAAATGGGTTGGTTACGAACTGCGGGTATTTTCAAGCATGGATAGTTGGATTATGAATTTGATTATCTGTTTTATTGTGGCAGGAGCCACTGAAGTTACCAGTAACACAGCTTCAGCTACCTTATTAATGCCAATACTCTCTGAACTGGTATGTCATATTTCATTATCTTGTCAGATAACTCTAACACATGGCAGTTGTATTTGTAAAAGTATATTTTTTATAATATTAAGTTTCATTAAAAGTGTGTTTGGTGTTTTTCTTTCTGAATTGTCAATAAATAAAAACAATTATCATGAACCGCAATTGTTTGCGTTTCTTTTTTTTTTCCTTTAAAATGTACTAGATAGCATATTCGAATTTCCTAAAGTGTCATTGAAACTGTTTTAATCCTCTTAGTTTAACAAAATGAAATGGTCTGCAAACAATATTTTCTTGCGATTTCATGCAAGTCAGGTACTTTATTTTATTGTTGTCATTTGTTTTAGTTGTTGTTTTGTTGTTGTTGCCCTGTTGTTGCCCTGTTGATGCTTCTAGTTGCTCCTTTATGTTTCAGGCTATACAAACAAAAATTCATCCACTATACCTTATGATGTCAGCAACCGTGGCATGTTCCTTTGCTTTCATGTTACCTGTTGCAACACCTCCAAACGCCATCGTCTTTTCTTCAGGTTACCTTACTATTCCAGATATGGTATGGAGCAGTGTTTTTCTTATCATTATTTTAATCACAATTCGTTGGATTTTATGATTTATTTGACAGGAATAGATATATTTTAATATAAATTAAAGTAAGATTATGACAAATAATATCAAATATGTATGATGGAAAGCGTTAGTGCTTTTCCAAATGTTGAAGGATTTTGTTTTGTTTTCCAATGTTACCAAAACAAAACTTATCAAACAATTTAAACAATATTTTTTCAATATTTTCGTTGATAGATTTATCACATGATAATGCATACATTATTATTATTATTATTATTATTATTATTATTATTATTATTATTATTATTATTATTATAATATCATTATAATTATTATTATTATTATTATTATTATTATTCAGGCATTAGCAGGCCTTCCAATGAATGTTATAGCTGTTTTATGCCTCACCCTCGGGATCAACACTTGGGGATCATCAATGTTTAATCTCGATACATTTCCAGACACATTTAACAAGAATGTGACAATCCCTGTTAGTTAGATGATGACATGATGATGTCATAAACTAATAATTAGATGACGCCCTAAACAAGCAGTTCTATGATGTCATAAACAAACACTCATTGGTTGTCTTAATCGGGGCTTTCGACAATGAATTATTCCCATGTGTGTATTCAGCATCTCATCTCGAAAAAAGAACTGACGAATTCATGACCAGTGTTGATATAATCGTTTATTGTTCAGATACATTGACACAACTACCATGCGAATACACGTGCCTGCAGTTGTATTCTTCATCATTTTGAATATAAACAAGAAAGTATAGGAAGATGACATTCAATGTCATTCATTACCACGGAATGTCACAGACCAAATGGATAAGGATTTATGAATTTATGGTCGGAGCTTAAGATATGAGAGATAGACTAATAAGAGAAACTAGAACTCCGCGAGTCGGATGTGTCGCCTTGTGAACAATGTAGTTTAGGGGAAATGGCCAGGACAAAAATGAAATATGAAAAATAACAAAGGGCAATAACTAAAAAAATCATAAGTGCAGAGCAGCAGTTTCTGTACACTGCACTTCTTATCAATAACATCTATCATTCTATGATGTTTCAAGTCCATAGCTTTCATACTTGAGGAGAAATGACCAGGACAAAAATAAAGTCTAATGGATTAAAGATCTATGAAGTTTAGTCCATAGCATTAGATTGAAGAGAAATGACAAATAAGATGAAAATTAACAAGCAATAATAAAGTTTAAGAACTTTGCGGTGGCCTTTGCACTGGGGACTTCGGTTAAAAGAAGCTTCATTCCAAGCAATCAATCAAATATTGTTAGCTAAAGTTTTAATTGGGTTAGAAGAAGAAGGTAGAAAGAATATGTCATCAACGATCCAAAACGATTACATATATGTTTAATGAAGTTTTGTGGAAATGTTTTATCTTAGCCTTAAATATTCAAAAATGTAACGTGTTTAAAGAGAGGTCATTCATCATCCCGACTCTCGCAGTTAATAAAATAATAACGCTTATGAATGTCGCCGTCAAGAAAAACTTTCCCAGCTAGCTTGCACAAACTGTAGTTAATCAGATATTTTGCTATGTCATACTGAATCCTTTTAACTTAAGTATTTACAGTGGGTACTCCATAATTCAGACTTAGCCTGGTTTGGTGGTTCCTATCAAAATGGGTATGGTCAAATACTGGCTAAACAGAAGTTCTGCTTCGCATATAAACATAAAAATTCAAAACTTACTATTCACCTGTCATTCATATGTTGCAAATCTTATACTCTTTGTTGTGATATTGAAATTAAAGGCACTGAAATGTATGAGAATTTCATAACCAAATTTTATACCTGCATCAAGATAGTGATATATATTGTACTTCAGAATCAACTTTGAATAAATCGCTTTGAAAAATAGCATTTAAACTTGGCTTTATGTCTAATTATATATTTATAAAGTACTTGACACTTTTAAAAAGAACACAAGGTATTTCTTTGCTGTTATTCCGGTCTTCTTTTGCATTTCACATTCATTATTTTTTATTTCTTTAGATTTTATTCATAATCAACTGGCTTTTCATGCAAAGAAAAGTGCAATTAAAGTTTTACTTAAGGAAATTCAATTACTGAACACTGTACTACATGTCTATCCGTAACTTTGCTTTTGTATTTAAAAGTACTCTTTCATTTCCATTAACTTTGCAATACATTCTTGTCTAGTCGTGTTCCTATCATTCAACCATTTCTCTATGTCTCTTCTCTCGCTTTTGTTGTTTTTGTTGTCTAGTTTATGATCATGACTGTGTCGCACCTTCTTTGCTGTCCTCTCATCGGAATCTTTCCTGTACGATATACGAATCTTAGAGTCGTATGAGATAGATCTTGTCATGTTTGCGTCCCTTTCTGACATAGATGCACCATCTACTTCAATGTTTGAAGTGAAGGAAACGGATTTTTTCCTTCTAGGGGGCATGTGATTATTTTTCATCCAAACGTTGCTGACACATGAAATCGATCTTTTCTTTTCAGGGACGTTCTTCTTTTTAGGTATGGGACTGCTATCTAGACTTAGGCGTTGTTGGTCAAGATAAAAGGATGGTATGCTTATATCTTGATCTGCATGTTGTAAACATGACTTCCGTATGACATTTTTATCTGTCAAAATCGGCAACTCATTGGTCGTGTCTTCCAAATGTTCTTCCTCTACGATAGAAGGGTTTTTACCTTTCCGGTACATTGAAAACTTCCTAGCTGTTTTTGCTGTGGTATAAAGTTTTTTCCAACGCTTCTGTGACGGACTTTCATTTCCTTCACTTGATGAAGAGATTTTTCTTCCATGCTGTTTGCTAAGTCTTTCGGTATGTGCGTTATCAAACAGCTCACTTGAATTGGTAGATTTTGTGCTCTTTTCTGAGCCTCTCCGTGAATATAAAGTTCTATATGAATGGTATATTTCATCGTATGAATGGCCGTCATCAGCAGCAGAAAATCGTAAACAGTTTGATAGGCGCCTTGCTCTTTGAAAAGTGTCATTTTCTATGTTGAGCAACCCCGAATTCAGTTTTCCTGTCGAAGTTTTCTTTTTATTGTAAGTATCCAAAATGTTCGCTTTACTTTGGTATTCAAGTCCGATCAAAGCCGCATTTTTTATTACAACTGAAGCTCGTGGATGTATGAAACTCTGTCTCCTAACCCGAATTGTCTCTTTTTTGCTGGTTACTTTATCTGAGTCAGAGTGATTGTGTTCGGGTTCATCTGACGTTTTCGCTTGTGTTTCATACTCTTCCATAAGAACTGGCAATTTCCCTCCAATCATTGTGTTTTCAGAGTCTTCTATCATACTTGCTGAATAGCCTGCTGTTGCGACTGGATAAATTTGCCTTGTTGATCGTGCATGAGATAGCGTGTGGACTCTCGAAGAGATTGGCTTTTTGCCAGTTTTATGAAGCATTGCCTCTACAGTTGGTTGAACAATTAAAACAACCAGTTTCCAATATATAAAATATAGTTCGTTCAGTTTAACAAATATATGTACAAATCTGACTATAGTATATATTCCCCATATTGTAATCATACTCGTTAGGAGAACAGTCACTGATGATGTAATCAATTTTGCCGGGTCATGTTTTCTGTTTGACATTGATCCTTCCATTGTTCTTGCAGTTTGTGTGACAACATTACATATTCTAAAATACATAAGTGTGCTCAAGAAAATTGGACTCAACACAAAAACAATTATTTGAATGATTTCGTAGGCTATTTTAGAGTCGCCACTAAGAAGCTCAATGTCATCAACGCTTGTAGCATTTGATAGGCTCGATGGTTTATTGTTGATCATCACAGAAAGAATTGCTGTAGAGAACATTCCAGCCGGCGTTAAGCAGATTAGTAGGGTTTTGATGGCATACCGTTGTGTCAGTAACAGTGAGGCTTGACCGCGATACTCACACGCCTTGTATCGTACAAAAGCTATTGCAAGAAAGGTACAGCAGGTAGAATAGTAGAACATGATGTCTGCAATGGCTGAAATATCAGATTTAAATTTACCACTCAGTCATTCATTGATTTCAGTTGTTGTACAGATGCTGTATCTAAAGCAAATAGGGCATGTCAATATAGTCTTGTCATTCCAAAGGGTAAAGTAACAGGAAATATGAAAATGTCATCTTAGATTAAATGTAAACAAGTGCAAAGAATTTCTTCATTTTTGACCGACAAAGTGGAGTGGGATTACTTCAAATTCGGGTGTTTTATTCTTTATTTATTTTTTCACTTATTTTTGTATTTAAGATATATGGAATATCTGCACTCATTATCGCAAACCTTTATACATTAGTCCAATGATTGGGCTAAGTAAAATAATACTGCATTGAAAGGGGCATCTTATCTTTTTAATCAAGTGCATATGATAATATAATGATTATACCTTTAACTCCAGTGCATACTTTTGTAGAGCATGGCCAAAATTCTGTCCAAATACATGCAATTAAGGCAACCAAGCTTAATCCGGTTTTACATGCTTGAAGAATATCAATCGCATTTAGATGAAGCGTCCTGGTCTAAAATAAACATATTCATTAACGTTTATGAAACGCACATATAACATGTAATACAGAATTTAAGTCTTTATAATTGCAATTTATTTTGTTAACAAACTTGATCTTAATCGGGATGAATAATTATAATAAAAACATAAAAATTGGTAAAAGAAACTGAAAAATAATAAGAACACTAAAACATTATAAACTTTTTGAAACAGGCTTTTGCTCATGCCTCTGTGTCTCAAATAAATACTTAAAATGGAAAGAAAATATTTAACAATTTAAGAAATAAAATATATATTATACCTTCACTGTATAGAGATACAAGGTATTGACACAAAGTCCTATAAAATCCATAGCAGTTATAGAAAGGATATGTCCAAGTTCAAACTCCATGTTTGGTGTAGTACCAGGCAGGGGACAAACTGCTCCTAGAATTGTTATTGTTGTAAGGTTTCTTGCGCAAATAAAATTCTTCATAAAGCCAAACCTGTTTTGCGTCCCTAAAGTGATAAGTAATTGATAACAACCGACATATATTGACGTCGATGTTGTCGAACTATTAACACCAAATTATCTGGCTTGCATTAGTTACTTAGTGCCTCAATTAATGTTAGGAAAACAATGTTACAATCATTCTATGAAAAATTGATTATATTTTAAGTTTAAATCAGCATTTGTCCTACATTTGCGGCTACAAATAGTAAAATTACAACAAGCCTTTATTATTGTTATCTTAGATTATTTGATACCTTTTTTATCAAAATTTGTAGATGATGGATATTTGAAATGATTTACTGAAAGTGAAAGCAATAATTCAATTAAACCAAATAGAAATAAGTATGATTTATGATATTATTACATTATGGAGAGTGATGGTTATAGTGAAACTCATTGATTTACTTGTAAGTTAGTGTGTTATAAAGTTGTTGCCGATCTTTTTAATGTATCACCTGGAGAACTGTATACTTTGAACATGACCGTCTCTATCGAAACTTACAGATTATTTTCTGTGCTTGTTTGCATTTTTCTTTATATCCAAAACATTTTTACAATTAAACTACCTCTTTCTTTTTTTTATTTTCTTTTGTTCACTGATTGTGTTTCAAAGGCATCAGAACATTTCATATTTGTTATTATCCATCGCAGTTAAAATTATGTGATGATGTCATGAAATAAGAAGATATCCTAATAAATATCGTAGCGAGTCACCTTAAAGGTTCTTGACCAAATAATGTTTAAGTTGCCCCTTTTTATAGCGTCCGTGGCCGAGTGGTTAAGGTCGTTGACTTCAAATCACTTGCCCCTCATCGCTGTGGGTTCGAATCCCGACAGGGACTTTGGATTCTTTCATGTGAGGAAGCTATCCAGCTAGCTTACGGAACGTCGATGGTTCTACTCAGGTGCCCGTTCGTGTCTGAAATAATGCATGTAAGGGCACCTGAGGTCTTCCTACACCAGTAAAAGCTGGAACGTCGCGATATGACCTATACTGTGTCGATGTGACGTAAAACAACAACATTTCTATTTATCCTGGATGCACATATACCGAAATAAAAGTAGTTGTTTTTTCGGTTTTAACTTTTCCAGAAATGTCTCATATATAAAACTTATCAATGTGTCGTTCATAACTAGTGATTTCATATCGATGTGAAATGCCTTCTCACAGTGTTCTAAATACCTGTGTAGTTTGATGTATTTACTAATTTCGTCCTTATTTGAATAGCTCAATTTGTGTCAATGCATTTCTCAATGTCAATGGGTTTAGTATTTTGTCAATCCCTCCCTTTTTTAAAGGCTTCATCTATTGTGATGCCTCCCTCATTTTGATGAGTTTTACATGTCCATTTCTGTTTTTCTTAAATAGCTTAATTTGTACCAATTCCTTCCTTACTATGAATAGCTTTTGCTGTGTCAAATCCTTCCGGTCTTTTAATGGGTTTTATCATTTCCCTATTTCTTATTTTATTTAACATTTTTCTGTACCTGTTACCACCTAACTATTCATTGGTTTTATTCAGTTGAGTCGGTCTCAGACTGCCTTCTAAAGTTAGTCCAATAGCCGGTGGTTCTAGTATAGTCTTAACTCATTGCCTTGCCTCATAAGATTTCATTGATTTTCTCCCTTTTATATATATAGTTTACAAATGATTTGAATAAAACATTATATATAATAATGAAACACAACCAGCAGAGGAAAAAAAGTGATGTATAGATTTGAAGATTATTATCTATATAGATGAAAGGAAGAGTCAAATGTGAGCACATGCACAAGTTGTTCTCGTTGTCTACATTTCACACAGGTGTAACTTATGACGCCTTCAAAGTATGTGCGACTTATTTTTGGATCATAAAAACGGTGTAAGAAACAAAATCGTTGTATACAAAAAAAAGTTTATTGTTATTTTACATAATTATATATTACAATTTTTCTGTAAAGGGAATGTACAAAATATAGCATATATGGTAAAAAGAGAGTATGTAAGGAATTAACCTATCAGTTACAATAGGTACATTTTAAACAAGCATATTCACAGACAAAAATGATACAAATATGTTTGAATATGTTAAAAGAAAGTGGGATATAAGGTTCTGATTATAAAACAATATACAACAATACAACAATAAAGATTTTCCATAATTATCTTTGTTTACGTTAAATGCGTTCCTTACCCTGCATGTTTCTCCTATATATTGTGTTTCCTCTTGTTTTCTTTTTGTAATATTGATTCTTATACTTGGACAATATCATTTTAAACAAAACAAAAATAGTTGTGTTAAGATATAAATATACAAATAATTTAGGAAATACCATTATTAGATATGTTCTAGATAATAATGTTTTTAATATAAGATAATTAAAATCTCACATCTGCTAGTATATGATTTTTTAATGTAGATCTTTGTAATCACTTTATCGGTGATCTGTAGTTTCTAAATTGGTTGATTTTAATTCTTTGTTAAAGTTTTTTTAACATTTCTCAACAGAAAATACATTAAAGATTGAAGATAGCCTAAGCCAACAGCAGGAGGACACGCATGTTTTATTCAATTGTCTAGTCATACGAGAAAAACATTGCATTGTTTTATAAATGTTACAAAGCTAGGTCATGTCGACCATTGAATGGATTTCGTAGCAAACTGATACATTTTAATATAAAAAATAATGATATATAATGGAATTAGATGGATACAGTCATAAGAATTAATTTTCTTTTACCGAAAACTGATAACACTTCATAAAAATATTAGTATCTCTAGATCTAATGAAGATGAAAGGACAATTTACTACGTTATTAAAACAAAGTGTAATAAGCTATTTTAAAAAAAAAAAGATACGTTATATTTTTAAGGCTATTGTAATATCACTTTTTCAATCTCGTTTATTTCGGTTAACTTTTATGTAAAAAATATACGTAGAACATTTTATTACACAGTGTTTTTAATTGTCTTTTAAATGTAGCAACTTTATAAAATGAACAATGGAGTGGTTTTATATGTGTTAATTTATTACAAGTTCTATCCTATGTAGTTCGGCACGGCGTAGGAAAGCGAAGGTCTATTCTGTAATGTTAATGAGGTGTTGCCTTGCGTTTTACATCATTTTCTGTCCGTAATCATTTACAATAATATAATAGTACCCGGGGATAGACACAGGCAAATAAAACGAAAACAGAGTATCTTGACTGCCTTTTAACCAAAGTTAGGTAGAAGCTGTCTGGTTTAACTATAGTTAAGTAGAAGCTGTCTGGTTGAGGAAAATTTCCGGAAATTCATCCAAATCGTACATGGATTTACCCCACGTGTTGATAGCAAATGTAAGACACAAAACGGCTATTATATTCATCGGCAGACCTGCCAAAGCCTGGAAAAATATATAAGAGACATTTTGTATTGTTTTTGACAGACATTTATGTCACATTGAATGTTCGAGGATTTTCTTACAAATATTCTTCATATTAAAAAAACACATCTAATTTTATTGTATACTACATGTAACATTAGAAGGGTAATGACAAGTTAAGTTAAAATTACATGTTACATTAAGTGGTTCGATCATGACGAGTTTAAATAATATCATATTATTTGACAAGAATTTAAATTTTATTGTATAATAAAACTAAATAGGTTAAAGAATAAGTTTAAATATATCACACTTTTTGACAAATACAGAAGATGTCTAAAGATAATTTCATGTATGTCTTACTTACCATGTCTGGTATTGTAAGGTAACCAGTAGAGAACACAATGGCGTTTGGTGGAGTAGCAACAGGTAACATAAAGGCAAATGAACAAGCAACAGTTGCAGACATCATCAGGTAAAGTGGATGAATTTCTGTGGCAATACCCTGTAAAATATATATTTCTTTTTTATCACTGGCCACGATTTGTGTCTGGCTATTGTCACATGTATTGTTCCAACACGGAAAAACAATAAAATAAAGGAAGCCTCCCGCCAGGCCAGATAGCACGGATGCTGACCTGGCTCTATAATAATAAAAAGGAGTGATCACTTTAAGTTTCATCAGGTTATGTATTTAAATGATTGTTTCTACATTTTCATTCTATCTTTGGTTTTTGTAGAAAAAAAATAATAAAAAATCTTACTTTTCAATGTCACGCTTTTGATATTTTTCTTCCAATATTATTTTACAGCAGTGTCAAGATTGAGAAAAAGTTGGTATATACATATATTTTGAAATACAGTACTTTAATACCCCTATAAGTGTTCACAAATGATTATCGAGCTATCATGGGCATGTGCGATTGGCGTAAATATACTTTATTATAGCCAAATAATCATACTTATCTATGTGTAAATTGCGGTTGTCACTTTTAGTTACAACAATATTTGAGACGTGCCATGACAAAACCAACATAATGGGTTTGCGACAAGCATGAATTCAGACCAGCCTGCGCATCCGCGCTGTCTGATCAGGATCCATGCTGTTCGCTTTCAGTTTCTCTACTTGTAACAGGGTTGGTAAGCGAACAGCATGCATCCTGATCAGACTGCGCGGACGCAGGCTGGTCTGGATCCATGCTGGTCGCAAACGCACTATGTTGGTTTTGTCGTGAAGCTTAAAAACTTCTTTCCGTCACTTTTGTTACATTTAACAGAGCATTAATTGGTATAAGCATAACAAGCTCAATACAACATTACATATACATTATACAGCATATGATACGTAAATTTAATTACACATAGCATGTACATATACTGAAAAATGATGGTACATGAAATGTAAGAATGATTAATGAGACCACATTTTACATCAAGGTACTACTAGCACTTACGGTTTTTGTAATTAGTACAATACAATAGGACCAATTATTTGCGGTTTTCTGGTTAAATATTAAGCATGCAAGGGAAATTTGCATTTAATATGAATAGAGAATGATTTTTATTTTAGATTCTATTAGTATTTTTCTAAAATCACGGTAAAGGGGTGATACTTTGGAAGCAATGAAACAACGAGAGAATTAAAGAGTTCTTTTCAAAAGGCTAAGGCTAATGAAGCTATAATTTTTGTAGATGGAAAAAAGAGAGGCGATCTTAATTATAATCTCAACCAAGCTTCAGAACAACTGGTATTGCAATTTGAACTCATAATCATTAGAGTTTAGTAGACTAGTAGTCTCATTTTGCTCTCAATTTCAATCTCAAGAAGTGGATGACCACATGTTTTGTTCGTTAAAATACCATAAATGAAACATACCAGTTCTGCCAATATAGGCATCAAAAGTGTAGCGGTGGCAGTGTTACTTGTAACTTCGGTTGCACCGGCGACTATCACACATACTAGCAAGTTCAGAACCCAATTATCTAAGTTGTCGAATGTAGAAAGTTGATTACCCAGCCATAAAGATAATCCCGAATCCTATGAATATTCCAGGATAATTTATGGTTTATAAGCATTTGATTATTACAAATGAAGTAGTAGACATAGTAGGTTTGACATTGCATGCGCTTTTAATGCAAATAACATTATAACTTGCAGCATGTTTTTGGCGTCCGTGGCAGAGTTCAAGCCACTTGCCTCTCACACCTGTTGGTTCGAATTCCACCAGGAACTATGAATTTTTTCCTGTAAGCAGCTATCTAGCTAGCTTATGGAACGTCTTTGGTTCTAAGGAAGGAGGACATGAGGTTTTCCTCCACTAGTAAAGACATAGTTGGTGCGACGTAAACCCAACTAAGAGAATAAACAATTAGATATGAGAGATGGCGCGTATTGTCAAGTGTCCACATTCAGTATAACCAGTTTGATTACTATATCAAATTGTATTGAAGTATCGAATGTAAAAATTATATTTCTGCTCGTTTTGTTTTGAAATTTCGCTCACAACAATATATAAAGCGTTTAGAAAATCATTTACAAATGTAAAGTTGGCATGCACAAAGTATTTGTTTTGCTTAAATACAATATAAAATGTAAACTGAACATATGTCTAGTTTTTAAATTTTTCTGACTACATAATAATATTATAATTATATTCATGAACTCACTTTACTGGCTTTGGCAATTGCAAAACCTCCACCAAGTAGAATGATGACTCCCCATGGTAATTTAGCACTAACTGCTTGCCATGTCAATATCGGTTTATAGGAAGGGAGTCCTGCAAATTATTATGCTAAATATTTTTGTATGTAAGTATACATTTATATTACATGTATAAGAGTCATAGATTGGCTTTCGGTACAGACCGGGGTAAGTATTTACTGAGATTAAAGGATCCGGATCTAGATCAGGATCAAATTTGAAACTAAAATCTTATTCATTTTTTATCTTCATAAATTAAATATTGAATATCAACTTGATAAAACTGAAATTAAAATGTCACAGGGTGAGAAAAATGTGCAGCCTGACTGGGACCCTCGGAATACCGTATTGCGGCTCTACCGACAGAGGTACTAAGCCGCTTACACATCTTCTCCCCTAAAAAGTGAACAGTTCTGAACCATGACAAAGTCAACCAAGGTGGGTATTTTACAGTTGATCCAAATACTGATCCTAAAAATGATCCTTATTGCTATCCGGTTATTTTTGTATTTGTTTTGCTATGTGTTATTTTGCTTTCAAATAAGGGTTATTTCTTTTTGAAATTGGCATTTTTTTTTACATTTTGTTTATGCACCATTAAATGTTAACAAAATACGATCAATTTTTTAGTTTCGTAAACCAGTGAAAATAAAATCATGATAATTTGATTATGATCCTGAACTTTTCTCAGTGAACACGGCGCCAGAACAACTAGCCCTAAAGTTACTTTGAAGGACAGTAACAAGGCTCTGTAACAATGACGAAAGCCATTGTTCGATTCCTTTTCTTGAAAATTAGGGCTAAATAATATTTCGAACATTTTTTAGAGAAATTAAACTTATATTATCATTTATAGTAGCGTATTAATTTCCAGCTTCATTCTCTACAGAAAAATCACGTCACCCAAAGAGCACAGGCGTTTGGGAATGACGTCATTCAAAATGCGACTTTACTTACGGTGTAGTAAGAAGGGTTTTTATTTGTTTGAGTCGAAATTTCAGACCCTGATGTTGTTAATTGCAAATGCCGAAAATAGTCCGCTTTTTTGAAGCGGTTACTTCCCTTTATATGTACACTAACGCCGAAAAAAAATCAGGGGATATCACTGCGTAAAGATTGTCAAATGACAGGCGCATTAATTTTCAAGCAAAAAAGTTCCCGAATGGTCGAAGATTTCTAATATTGTTTTATTCTTTATAGATATATATGCTTATAGTAAGCTACATATATGTGTTAGCGTCGAAATAAGGGTTACAAACCCTAATATAGAATAATAGGATTTTCTTCAGGTCGTTAACATATAACTTCACCGTGGCCCTCGCTTAGGAAGAGAGATGTCTGGAGCTCAAATCCCAGTTAAGGCAACTCATTTTTTTAAATTGTTTAAAAGTCAAATAAACAATGAATTGAGTTTCAATTAGTCTTATAGCCAATTTACTACAGTTAAAGAACTGGAAAACATTGGTGGCACTATACAAAAACAAATTGATTTATAATCTCAAAACCTTCACCTTTCTGACATTCTGAGACCCAAACAAATTGCTTTGATTTTTTATTGTTTGTTTTTGTACCGGTGTAAGAAAAGACAACCCTGTCTGACATGCAAGATATACTAAATAGACCAGATAGACCGTTATGTTACTCTTTGATTTTATTCATGACGTAAAATTGCGTTTTAATTAATGATACTTAAAGTTAAGTTTCACTATCAAAGCTAGAGTTGCTTTGTTGATATTACATTGTAAATCAGCAAGTATCATTTATTTCACATAGCACATCATAATCATAAAATCGTAAAGACAAGACTGTATATGTATACATGTATATGTGTGTACGCTACTGTGCAAATATGAGAATAAATTAACCGTACCTTCTTTTAATAAACAGAATATTTGTGGAACTTCCCTTGGTAATAGAAACAACAGAACACTTAAGAGCATGCACGGAGTCGAGTCTGACACATATCTATATAATGTATAACAAACACTGTGCATAAACACATGCATATGAGTCATATAAAATAAAAATATTAGAACAGCCCAAAGACTCAGACCAAGCTGTATTATAAACATCACATGCTTTGAGTCGAGTGTAACATACACATATACAAACATGTCAAACATTGTTTTGCAATTCAATACAGTCCACTGGCAATACACTGACAACAATCTATCTCAATCACATGCGCATGCGCTGTCATGCAAAAAAACACATAAGAAACATTCTCATGTATAGGAATCATAAGAAACAATGTGTGAATTGACATACCAAATAGACATGTTGGTTGTTTTAAGTCATTTAATATTTCTACAGTGTAAAACGTTTGCTTTCTTATTTAATTGTACGTATATTCTTGTGTCATTTTATCTTTTTCGTTTCCATCAAAATATCGCCGACAAATAAACATTGAACGAATTAGTAAATACCATGAATATTCTTTACTGTAACATTTTTCTGTAGCTTTGTTTCATTGATTTCATAGTGATATATGTGATAATAATGTTTTCGAAAAGTAGTTGTCATTATGAAAATTATCCGTAAATTGATACATAAAGAGAATTACACATGCTTACAAAATCGTTAATATGTAGGTATAATTACCCGGGTTTAAATGCGCTGATATCACCCCATCCGTCAATGTTAGGTGGATTACGAAACAACCATAAGATCACCAGAATAATGAAGACAATCAAAACTTGGAGCTCGGCCAGACTAAATTAAAAAATGAAATATTTGTGAAAACCATATTTTTTATTTCTTATTTAACAATGAGTACAAGACTAAAACAAATTATTTCAATATAAAATACATTCATATTTTTATATAAATTTGACCAGGTTAATACACATTGCTAAAATTAATTTGTTGGACAAGAATACAGATGTCAAACTATATTTTATGAGTCTAATACAGGTTTTGCAGCAGTGTTCGAGTCCAGTAGAAACAGTATCGTTCCCAACAATTTATAATGACCACTTTATTTCATATAATCATTTTTGACATTTTGACATAACTTTAATTCTTGAAGCTGAATCTACAATAAGAAATTGATACGGTTTTTAAACCCTGGAAATGAAAATAAACGCTAGCTGAGTCAAATGCAACAAATGTATAGGTTTTGCAGATGTGTACGAGTCCAATAGAATCAGTATTGTTCTCAACAATACAATACAATAACATCTTTATTTCACACCATCATTTTTGACATTTTGACGAAACTTTGATACTTCAATTACAATAATTGATATGATTTATTTAGCCATGAAAATGGAAACAAGGCTAGATAAGTACGATATGCATTTGATATAGATATCTCGGACTCTAAAAATGAAAACGAGGCTTTAAGAGATATGATATGTAATTGTTAAAGAAATTATGTACGCTGAAAATGAAAACGAGGCAATCTATGGTACGATATGCATTTGATATGGATTGATTAACTATAGAAATGGAAACGAGACTTAAGAAGACTGGTTTCGAATGATTTCTATCGGAACCATTTAGTGATTCTAACGTTGAAACTTCATTGGTTATATTTTATAAGTTGTGAAATAAACATTTTATATAGCATGCATATACACATTTATATCAGACACAAATACATATCTATATTACATATAAATAAATACTCATTTTTTGAAATATTTTTACATCTATAACACACAAGCACACACATACACACAATAAACAAAACAACAACATTTTAAAATTCGAGTTTTTGGTTTACTTTTAAAAAATAGTATAAATAATAGTATTGGTGGAAATTCTTTAATTTGAATGATCTACTTACGTCAAGAAACCAAGGCTTTTAAACTGAGCTCTAATGGTGGCGTTCACAGCCTTCTTCTGTTCAGGGTCCATCTTTTTACAACATCTAATAGAAATAAAGATTAAATTAAATAATAATCAAATATGCTGTGATTTAATGAATTAAATATTCAACGATTGAATATCATATAACAATTTTAAATCAACATTCAACGATTAAATATTATATAACAATTTTAAATCAACAATATTATATAACAATTTTAAATCAACATTCAACGATTGAATATTATATAACAATTTTAAATCAACATTCAACGATTGAATATTATATAACAATTTTAAATCAACATTCAACGATTGAATATTATATAACAATTTTAAATCATCTTAAAGACATTTTATTATTATTTTCTTAATAAATCTGCATTATCACAAGAATTTGAACGTCTCTTAATTAATGCCATCTTCTTTTGGAATATTTCTATCTACGTTAGGCATTTTAACTGTTAAAAGCCTTGACAAAAGCATGTATTTTTAACTATAGATCAAAGTTATTTTTTACTGAATGATTAAAGATAAAATCCGTCATGTCTTAATATTAGGAAAATATTTAAAAGTAGTGTGTAAGATAAGACTCGAGTGTTATATACAACTTGTAACCAGTGCTTTAAATTGTGTGGAAGTGAAAATAATCTTAAACTATAAATGCTTCATCGAAATGAATGGGAAGTTTTATGTGGCAAACCATTCCGGTTTACATGTACATGGAGGTATTTGTCAGTCCTAATTAGTATTCAGGTGTACATTGAAGTATTTGACAATTTTACTTCATGTTAAAATGTGCATTCAAGTATAACATCATTATGTTAAACTATACATTGGTGTAAATTTTACATCAAAACGAAGCAAAGCTAAACTAGACACATAAGTATGAAATCATTCACGTGTGCCCATGTTAATACTTTAATTGCTACACATTGACTGTGGTATAAATAAAAGAAATATATTTCTTTTCATACCCAAAACATTACATTATTTTCGTTCATAAATAGTAGTACAATACACTAGACTTAGGAACAGAAAGTTGTTCATTGGCAATAAAACAAAATGTATAGATTACATACACGACCAAGAGACTTCATATAGGTGTAAGCAGAAACCTGCAAGTCGTGGTTTATTGGTACATACCCGCATCGAATAAAGCATAAAATAAGCCACAACCAACCAATCACTGCCGTCAACAGAGATAAGGGAAATGCAAAGCCCATCCATTTTGCAAAAGATATTTCGGATTCTCCTTTATATCCTGCTTCCGAGTATAGTCTGAAAATATTGAAAAAAAAAATCAATGTTTCATTCCGGTTATCTTTATTTGCAAAGGAATTTTACTTACGCGCATGTGGGAAAATATCAGCTTATATAATTAAAGATGTGTGAGAATCTGATAATTGTGAATTGTAGAAGTTCACACAGCTCATGTGCCAATTGCTCGTCGCCTGCATAAGTTCAAATTTTAACAGGAACGAAAAAAAGCTAGCCTGCTTATGAGCTAACAAGGGATTCAAGAAGAGATGTTTATATTACTTGATAATGTACAATGTCAGTATCACTTAAAACTCCAAGAAGTTAAATTAATTTAAGTATTTTTTGGTTTGTTTTACGTCGCACAAACAAAGAATACGTAGAGGTCATATGACGACTTTCCGGCTTTACTGGTGAAAGAAGACTTCATGTCTCTGTCCCTGCAGTACTTCAGACCTGTACGAACTGGCATCTGAATAGAACCACCGACGTTCTTAAAGTAAATCTATAAAGTAAACAAAAAATCAAAATCTTTGCCTACGAAAAATGGTATATCTAATAAACTAATTATGTATAAAAAATTAAAGCATAATATTTATTTTGATGAAATATTTATTATAGTTGTTGTTGTTGTTGATGATGATGATGAAACATACTTGTTTCTCTTTCAGGGCCATCTCATGTTTCGACTCATCAGAGTAAATATGATGCATAATCCATAAATTGTCTCATGTTGACTTTGAGTTATATTGATATTAATATATATTCATCAAATTACACTGTAGAAGAATCATGTGTCCGTTACCATATAAAAATATATTTGAATCTTGAATCTTATTCACGAATAACTGAAATGTCTTTGAAATAAAAATGATATAAGAAATAACTTACCTGTTCTGAAACTTACCCCATCTCATGACACGTATATTTATATTTTTGTGATATTACATGAGTTAATGCAAATAAAATTGTAAGTTTTTATTTGTAAAATTGTTCACTGTCCAACTTTTAAAAACTATCTTATAGTATAAATGTTAAAACATAATGATATAATTATCAAAATCATATGGTAGAGGATTTTACTTTCGAAGTCAAGATGTAAATACAGATACAAAATGTATTTCGAAAAAAAATGTTATTTAACCAATCATTCGTCTATCAACTTTTTGAATCATTTTTATATGAGGCATACATGGCTATATGAGTAAATAACAAAACAGTTTTGTTTTTTTTAAAAAGTACTGTTAGAAACAGTAAACAAATGGTTATGTAATGGAAATTCTGTAAAACTTTCAGACAGAAAGGTTCAAGTAATTGTCGAGAGACCTAAATAGTTGAGTTTATGATCATTTGGCGTTCCATACATTTCTGTTTCCTATTGAAACATATTCAGCAAAATTATTAACCTTTAATTTAGGAAGGTAGGAAAGCGGTAGAACTCTAGCTTTAATGATTTAAAAAAGGTTCTAAATTTAAATCTAAGCCAAATTTAACTGCAAAATTGGCACATGCGTAAAAATTAGGTTATACACAAGACGGGGTATCAGTTTATATCAATATTAAGCTAAGTATTAAAGGAAAACAGTAGTATCATGCAAAACGATGAAGGGAAAATATCTAGATATATGTATATGTACAATTTATAGTATTTTTTATGTAAAACCATTTCTGTAACAATTTCTGCGAAAAAAATTAAATAACATCTTTGTTGCACCACTTATTTCATTCCGGGTCATACCTTTGAAATATGATATGCTGCACAGAAAAAAATGAACATGTTTACAAATCTTGATTTACATGATAAAATAACAACTGTGACAATAGTGTAAAGCTATTACAATAAAACTTTTTGTTTCCATTGTCAATGTAAGAAATAACTATCCTTTGAAGTAATAAAAATAATCATAAAATCTTACTATCACCACTGCCAACATAACAAAACATGCTATTCTCTTGATGTATATGGGATATATTTACATCATATGGGTACACAAATGTCATATGATGTTTTTCCAAAGCAAAAATGTAAAATATTGTAGGGCAAAATATAGGTAAAGGACGGGAAGGTTTAACTGAGGGAGAGGAAATAAAGTGAAAAATAATATTTAAACGTACCGTGCAAGGCTGCAATCCATACAGAACGTAATGCAATTATAGTTGAAGGTTACTATATATTTTATAAGATGACTTTTATATACTTATCATTTACTTTAATTTGAATAAAAATGGAAAAGATTACGTCCAATCAAAAATTAGAATATTTCACTCATTTAATATTTACATGTAATGACAAATAAAAAATAAGCTTTCCAGTCCTAAATGCTATATCAATTATTTCATCATTTTTTATCCATTATAATTAATGAATTAAGTTTTGAATTTATTTTTTTCTTTCTGATTTAAGTTATTCTACTTACCTATCAGCGTTTTCTTTAAGGATAAGGTTTGGAGGAGAGCCCGTTACCGTTGCTATTCCTCCAATGTTAGCACCGTATGCCACACTTAGAGCAAGTGCCTTTGCTTGCCTCTGTAGTTCAACTGAACTTTCGAATTCCTCTCGCCATGTACGTCTGTATCTACTACTATACAATTAAAATATAACATACCTGCTTCAATATATCATATACACATATATACATATAATAATACAAACTGTAAATGGAAGTATGGTATGACTCACTCATCGGCGTTCTCCTTCAAGACAAGATTTGGTGGTGTTCCAGTCAGTGTGGCAATACCTCCAATATTAGCGCCGTAAGCAACACAAAGAGCGAATGCTTTAGCATATCTTTTCATTTCATCGTCCATCTCTTCAGGAAGCTCTGCCTCTATGTCTTTATCACTTACTTTGTATGAGTTTTTATTACTAAAATTAGATCATATCAAAGAAAATTAACGAATATGGTTCCACATTTAAATTAATGTTCAATGAGCTACACTATTTTAAAGCGAGAATGAAAAAAGGTACTTGTAGTCTAATATAGGACTTGCTTGCTCATTCTTATGCAGCCGGGATCATGACGGAATATATAAAGTCAGTTCGTTCCGACAATAATCAGTTAAACTGTTACGGGCAAATAATTCCATTAGGGTCAGTTTATTTTAAACGTCCGATTTTGATGAAAGCTGGAGAATGATATGAACCACTGTCGAGTGCAAAACATTTTACAATCCATTACTGGTGTCAAGTAGGGAAGCATGTTGGAACGAACCCATGAGACTTAGACAGAGTGGCAAACATCATTATCAATAGATTGACACTATCTTGTAGGCTTAGAAGAGGCATTAGGTACTCTTTAGTTCTTATATTGAACGAATACACTTGACCCCATGGAAAACACATTTGTATATTTACAAAAAAAAAACAATGATAATCATTCATTACCTCTTAATCATTTCTAAGAACTGTTCATTAAATCATTCGTTCTGGCGACCTGAACATCTTTACATAAATTCTTTATGAAGCTACTATTTAATAAAGGGCATGAACAGTTACGTAAAATGGATCTTGAATAACACATTTCAAACCAATTCTCCCTTTTAAGAAGGAATCGCTTTCCCTTCAAAACATGTTCGGGAAATATATTAGGGAAAAAGGTATCGACATTATTTTCACTCGCAAAAATATGTTCCTAATATATGATAGCCATGCTTTGTTACGCCGCATAAAGCTCTCAACGACTATAGCTCTCCTCATCGACACCTTACTACATCTGCTTTAAGTTAAGTACCCAGGTTATAAACATCTATTACTACAAGCAAATTTAATACTTTTGTCTTTTTTCAAGTTTAAACATTTTTATGTTAATTCACATGAAATTCAACATGTTTACAATGTATGTTTTAAAGAGTTGTAGGCTGTCCCCATGTTTACTTTAGTTTTAAGTTACTTTTTCATTTCTTTACACATTCCTTTAAAGTAAACTAAAGGTATTTGGTACAGACATAAATGTTTCGTCTGAATGCTGTTACTGAAAAGGTTTATAACTTTAAATGTTGTAAAATGACTGCAGCATTCAATTACTACTTATTTGAAATTTAAGTTAGATTTCAGCGAAAGATTTGCACTTTTATCATCTAGCTATATCATGCTGTTCACCTGCACGTTGCAAAAAGTTCAAAAGTTACCCACAGTTTTGTAATCTGGTGTTTATCTGGGGAACGTTGCAAAAAGTTCAAAAGTTGTCAGCAGGTTTGTATCTAGTTATTATCTGGGGCACGTTTCAAAAAGTTCACGAAGTTTATAAGTTGCCAACAGTTTAAAAAAAATCTAGTATAAACGTTAAAGTACTCTATTACATCATATATCAAATTTTACAACATTCTCTTACACTGGAAACACCAAGAAGAAATCCAAACTCAAAAAAGAAAGTCGTTATGAGAATGGACACGTTTTCAAAATAGGAAAAACAATATATAACAAATATCAAATAGTTATTTATCATTTTTCTGTTTAAGGAAAAGAATCACTGCACGTGCTGAAATATGTTTCCAAATTCTGAAGTCTGTGTTATTGGGGCTAAGACGGTGGTGCCAGGTACTATAAGGGTGCAGACGATAGCTTGCATTTATCACAAGCCCGGTTAAACAGAACAATCAACGGTTCAATTTTGCCGAGCTGGGTGACCTTTAAGAGTTTCATTTTAACTGTTTCATATTATGTCAACCTTAATAAATGATATATGATATATGTTTCCAATTCAATTCTTAGAGTGTGGTATAAAGAATTATTCATTAGCTGTTTGTCCTGTTGTACTGCTGTCTGACTGTCTGTCTGTCCGTAAACTGAAAATCCAGCATCCGTGTCCTATGAACATATTTCTATTTGATAATTCCCCCTTGTAAATTAGGAAATAATATGCAAAGCGAAATTTTCTATTACTTAAAACGAAAATGTACACCTAACATTCATTCCGATCATTAGAGATTTTTCCTTCTTCTTTATTATTTATATTATTTATTTATTTAAACGTTCTAGTGGTTTTTTTATTTTATTTTATTTTTGTTATTGTATATCATACGTTTAACTCTGAAAAATAGTCTGTATGGTTTCAAACAGCCTCATAATCATGGTCTAGAGCATTCAGGTTTTTTTTCTTATATTGCCTGTTATGCGTCGCAAAATATTGATTATCTATTACTTTTTGACAATTTTCAAATAGCTATTAAATTGTATTTTGCTTTACCTTTCTGATTCTGGCATCACGTCGCCGTTACTGCTGACATCAATTTTGTCTTTTGGGACACCATTTTCAGAATCGTCATCTTTAAATGCTGGATTATCTGCCGTGTCTATCGTAAAATGGGAATACAAGCCATTAAAGAATGTCTGGAAAAGTGACTTTAAAGAATAAAAGGGGTATACAGTACGGGTTATTTTAAATGTAGAGAGCATTTACTTTGTTGATTACATGAACAAAAGAAAATTAATGCAACTTTTACAATGTAAGATGCAAAATATGCAAATCTATTACATCGTAAAGGTCCTGTTATCAGCTGTCCAGAAACCTACACCAATACAGCTGTATTTTGGGTTTTTATTTATGCACAAAATACATGTTAATACTTAAAATCTACCACGTGAATAAAATATTGGAAACGTCGCAATATATATTAATTTGATAGGAATTGCATTTCAAGAACTGCCGTAGATTGATATTTATTTAAAGAAATACATGTATTCCAAACACTCCTTAACATAAGCAATTCAAAATGTGATTTTGACGGACACAATAAGACAAGAAAGTTTGGAGACTTAGGTGACCATTGTCACAAACCTAATATACCCCTCATCATAAAAATGGTTACAGCTTGATGATGAGGGATGCGGTAACACAACATTCCTTGGCAAAAACTTAACTTCTTTATCAGAAGTATTGCTCCCGGGTGAATATGTGCGTCGTCTTTGACATAAAATCCAAAACAGAATATATTTTTATAAAGATGAAATATTAAGCACGTATGTCATACGTACATAACGTTTTTGTCCGTACTTCGCTTACGGTTTTTATCACAGCCGTAATTATAGGAATCATCATAGAGGTCGCTGCTGTATTACTGATCCACATTGACAGGAACCACGTGGTCACCATCAAACCCGCCATCAGACTGAATAAAAAAATATGTTTCATTATGCCTAGGTTCAGAAAACATCAGAAAAGTATGTTATAGACAAATGCAATGTGTTCAGTGGATGGCTCAGTGTATTCTTATCAACTGTGGTTACTTACCCAAACATAAACCTATACCATCTATACAATAAAGACAACAGAAGAAGACATTGAACGCATTAGACAATAACCGACAATAGTAAAATAGCAATTCATCAAAAAAGATGGACACCTAAACGAACAGAAAATTGTGTACAGACAGACCAGGCAAATAAACTAACAGAGTAGAAGTGCTATTTTGTATTTACTAGAACACAACAAAAATGAATTTCAAATAAGCGAAACGAATACTTTAAATAATTCTGATCTTTTTTTTTGTGTGTGTGTGATTTTGATTTGTATCTAATTAAATGTATTACATTAAGCGATACAAGAATACGAGCATGTTGACAGATAAACGTGATATAAAGCTAGATTGCTTGTGATTCATAGACAATTAATTACCATGATTAACATGTGTTCATGCATGAGATATGCTAATTTCTTCGTTTGTAAACCTATTATTTTCATTGAGCCAGTTTTTGTTCAACGTAAAATGATTCATCTTTTACAAGAACATGTAATACAAATTGAAGACGCCTGAATAATCTAATGTGTATTATTTTAATTGAAAAATAAACATTTATAAGCTAAGAAGTAATCATCTTTTACAATATAATGCAATTGATGTGGATGTGGAGTTGGTAGTTTTCACTTCGGATCACGACAATTAGCCACATTGAATTCCCCAGAGCACAGTTCAACCACCCGCATCGTTCCTGGGCAGGCTGTCAAGCAGTACTAGTTGCCTTCACTTTCGCAAGGAACTAAAACTTCTGTACATGCAAGAGCAAGTACAATGCGAATGACCGTAGAAACGATTTCATGATTAATCACAATGAAAGTGACCTGCACCGTCCGGGAATCGAACCCGGGTCGCCCGAACCACAGTCTAACACTCTACCTATTGAGCTAACATGCAATTGAACAACTGATTTTCTACTATATTCTTTTTTCCTAGAATTTCGCGCTAATTAAACTTATGTTATCGTTCTATTAAATATTTTTAATGCTTAGAGACAGTTCCATGAAACAAAGATGCGAAACAATATGTTAATTTTTGAATGGCAAAAATCAAATTATTACATCTAAATAGAAAACTTACAATATAGGTTGCGCTCCGACGAGCATCATCACACACAAAGATATGCGAGTGTGTAATCCCGTCTCTTCTAGAGCCACTGCAATGATCAGGCCGCCAAAAAACAACATAGTTGTATCCTGAATTGGAATTGAGCTTATAGTGAGTGATATAGAATATAAGTTACAGTTTAAGGTTTACATAATCTTTTTTATTTTTCTAAAACTATTGGCCTCCGAAACCGAGTGGTTAAGGTCGCTGATTTGACTTGCCCCTCATCGGCCTTGGTTCGAATCCCGTCAGAAACTTTTTGATTCTTTAATGTGATGAAAGTTTCCAGCAAGCTTACGGAATGTCTGCGGGCCTATCCAGGCGCCCGTATGTGGCTGAAGTAATGCACAGAGGGGTGTCTGAGGTTTTCCTGCACCAGTAAAACAAGAAGGTCGCCATATTAACTTTAACGTTTTGTTGACACTTAAAATTTAGCTAATAATGTTTTTTTTCCCTAAATATAGCATTCATCTTGCAAAAAGTTAAAAGGTCGTGAATCATTACTCAAAGTAGCTTAGTTCAAACAAAAGATTTTTTGTTTGGGAATTATTTCTAAAAATATCTTAGTTCTTATTGTTGAAGTATTACTAACCTTACAAAAGATTATATGCTAGTGAATTACCACTAAAAATACCTAACCTCTTTCAAAATTAACTTTTTGCCGTGATTTATCAAGCTCAGTTTCTTTTTTCATTCAACAGACAGGACATATATAGCTTTATACTTTTTAATGGTACCTATGATCTTATTTTAAATATTTGATGACAAAATTAATGTATTAAAGATATACCGTGACGTATGCCGAGCTTATGTCCTTGGCCTTTGCAACCCCAAGCAACGGAAACAGAAAGATCGGCATCAAAGATGTTACTGGTATAGGAATTGCCTCGGTGAGCCACAGTATCGCCATGACGACAATTACGTAGGCACATTTTGATTGCTGGAATTAAAATTAGCAAGATTTTTTTTATTAATTTCATGTTGGACAATTTGCTCCAACATTGATACAAATGATACAAATAAGGACAATGTTTTATGTAATATTATAATTCTTTTTCAGCTTTATCAGAATGTTATTTGATATGGTATATGTACTTAAAGTAAAGACGATAGATCTATATCATTGAAGATTTTAAATTAATCGCTCCTTTCAATCATTCTTGTTAACTGTTAATTATATTAAAGTAAATCATAATCTAAAAGATCTAAACTTTTAAGATATGAACAAATTAATTTGAAATTGACATTTCTAAGTCACGCTGTTTAGGAAATAGAGTAGGCTACACGAATGTTAACGAAAATGTATCACTATAGGTCTACAAAAATGAATTAAAACTGAACTTAAATTTCACAAACGTTTTCGCCTTTAGTTTTATATCTTGCATGAACTCCTCGTGGTTGACCATTTCGTAAGACAACATAGGTAAAATTTGTCGGGATTAAATTAAGGAAGTATTGTCTTTACTTTATTTTAATTAGATATAAAATGCTTTTAGTTACAATAATTAATTGACACGACATGCGTATGGCATGAAAAATCAACAGTAGTAAAGTTTAAACATACATTGTGCTCATCTTTTGATAAAATGATTTTATTCCAGAAATTTATTGAAATTAATGCAATTCTTATGGAATATTTATTGAATATGTATTGAATATGTCTAATTTGAATAAGAAAATGCACAATGTCCGCGAAGCTGCATTTCCTTTTACTGGTCAAATTGATTTGATCCTTTCTAAAAAATGCCAGCTGGTCATACTATGTTTACCTATAGTATGATCATTTTAAAATGTAACAAAGCTTTTCTGTGTGTACTCAAAAGAAATTTTACATTTAAAAAGAGACTGTATAGCAATCTTATATATCTTAAATCAACAAGATTCAATATAAATTTTAATACAATATAAATCATATCAAATTCATTAATGTCTTCAGGTTTTCTTGAATAAAAAAACTGTAGATTTCAGTGAATTGAAAATGTTATCCTTAACGATCTGTTGGCATCAAATAAATGCATGCTACCTGAATCATTATAGTTGATAGTAAATAATAATTATCACTGTATTATCACGTGTTGGCGTCATTATCGGCGAGTCAGTGGAATTGCTAAATTAATTGTTCAATTAGAACATTAATTCTTGTACATGTTAAACACTCTGTCATGTGAATGTGCACATAGAAGTTATTTTTTCTGCTTTTTACTCTTCTCTGCTACAGGAACGCTTGAATTCATCAATTAAATTCAAATACAATTAAATATATAAATATGAACGCTATCTCAACTTCCGTCTACATGGTGTATGCAGAAAAACTTGAAAACTGTGTCATTATTTGCTCTCTTTCTTTTTGAAACTACTAATTATTTTAATAGGCCAGGTTGTCGTAACAACTTTAACAATAATTTATTGTTACAATACAATATAAACATACATGTGCCGTCAGAAGATTTGCCAGTCACTGCCTGTCATTGGTAATTACATATAACAGTGCAGGTTTATTATTTCTTCCTTTTTGTTGACATGGCAACTACTTTATAACAAATTTTATCAAAAAACTACTTGTCACGTGATACCAAATCAACAAGAAGAATAACAAGCCTCTCAAGTGACATAATAAAAGCAGATCTGCACGAACAAACATGCAAAGTACTTTTCAAGTTCAAAATATGTGTGAGATTTAAATAACAACTGATATTAAGTATACATTTAACTTAATGTCTTGTAAACAGTATTACTTTATTCTTCAATTCTAACGATTATAGGTTTGCAAGCGAAAAACATGTATAAATGCATGCAAAACCTTGATACTTTAAAGTGAAGACTCGTAATACAGACAAAATTCTTTTTAATTAACGAACAAACCAATTATGTCGTTTATTTATAAAGACATATATTGCCGATGAAATTGAAAGAACATTTACTCCGTGAAATGAAATGTTCGACAATTTGTCTTCATCAACATTAAAGAACAAGCATATTTTGCAAGATAAGTTTTTGATCAGTGATACGTGACGCGACTGTTTTATTGTATTTGTATATTAATGTGTATTTATATATTTATATGAAAGTAGATGTTTTGAAGGTCACGAAAGGTCAAAATAGATTTGTTTAATTGATACAATTCTCGTAAAAATCGCGAGGGTCTTACGTATTTTTTCTATAATCTGTTTTATTGTTCTTCATCAAATCACATTTGCATCATTATTTCTTCAATACACGCATGTCTTAGTGATCGCAATTGCCATTTATTTTTTGTTATACTAGTAATAACCAAAATATCTGAAATGTAACTTCAATATTATAAAATGACGTTGCAACACAACATGACGTCATTACGTCACATCCGTGACGATGACCCTGTAAACTGGCATAATGTTTTGGCGTATAAATCTTTATATATATTTTATACATAATTTGAGAAATAATCAAAGCGTCAGATATTGAGCTAAGATTCATTTCGGTGCTTAAAAACATTCACTTACGTCTTTTATTGACCGTGTTATACGTTTAAAGTGAAAAGTGAAACTGTTTGAATGGTCACACAAAAATAATGCTAATGAAGATAGTCATCCCAGGTATTAACTGTAAATTTGTTCTTGCCGCAGGTACAAAATTCTTATTGACAAGAAAGGTCAAAACTGAATAATAAGTTAGAATATCAAAATTTGGTGATTACCTTTTTCGTCTGTTACTTTTAAAGATTTGTCGATGTTTGTTTGATTGTTTGTTTGTTCGTTTTTGCATAAATTGTGCTTGATAAAAATAAGATGGTTTAGGCCACGACTTATGCATGATTAGAGTTGAAAAATCTAATGTCATGTCATGTCTCTGTCGCTCCTCAAACACCTTATGATATATTCTGTAGCGTTATATAACGTGTTCATGAATACGTCTATATATACAGGTCCTACATTACATTACAGCAAAACATATAAACTTATAGAAAGAGCGTGATGTCGCCAATGTATTTTTTATTTGCTAACAATCGTGTTTACGAGCATACCAACGCATACGAGCATGAATTTATTAAATACTTCCAACTAAAGTTTTATAGATTAAAGATATTTACTGCAAGATAATATTATGAAGGATAGAAAAAAAAGAACAAGGACGTAAATTTGATTTATGCCTTTATATTAAAACGAGCAAGCAAAGAATTTCATAGTTTCTGACATTAAAACTTCTTTCACAATTGAAGAGAAATATCCTAATAGATCTATTTTTTCTACGTTTTATTCTAACATTTTATATTCATCTATTCACTTTTAAATTGTATCTTATAATCCAATAATATTATAGATCGAATGTTATATCCATTCATGGGTCAGGAAACTTTCTATTAATCATAATTTGCATGTAAACATTGGCTGAGAAAGAATCATCATTTTGATAATCTATAAATCAACCAACATTCAGAACAAGAGATCATGCAGATATTAAAATAAAATATTGCCTACTTACCACTTCAAAATCTTCAGAGTAATCCACAAGAAGAACTATTGGCGCAATAAACGCTATAATTGTCACCAATATTGGCTTTAATGTCCAAATATGATTAAGTAAACCCATCTTAATCCTCGCAGAAATCTAGACCAATCTTATAATCCAGTGTTTATTCCATGCAAAATTTAAGTTTGTGTACGTGTTGTTTTTGTTTTTTTTTCATCAATTAAACCACAAGTAAAACGGATATCAATTTTCACGACCAGCAAAGTTTGACTGATATAAAAGTTCAGATGTTTACAATATCCTTTCAAAAGGCGAATCTGCAATCATTTAAAATAAACTGTAAGTATAACAAAGTTTGTGCCTAATGTGTAAGGTTGAAGTCAGCAGACCTTGATGTTATACATCCCAGATTCAATAGTTCATTGTAGCTAATGCGAAATCTATTAATAAACACGATTTCATTCAAATCATATGCGTGTCAAAAATACTTTTTAAAAACTTCTTTTCTTTGCGTTTTACACCTAAAACCGTACCGTACATGCATTTATAAAACCTAATACTCTGTTATAAGTCCTTTAAAATGAGAAATATCGAAAGTAATGAAAATAAAAGCTAAAATTAACATTGAAAAAAACGGGTATTAACCATTTTGCACTATAACTAATCATTCTATGATATGAGCCGACAAAACCAACATAGTGCGTTTGCGACCAGCATGGATCCAACCGCGCAGTCTGATCAGGATCCATCCTGTTCGCTGTCAGTTTCTTCACTTGTAATAGAGTTGGTAAGCGAACATCATTGATCCTGATCAAACTGCGCGGATGCGAAGGCTGGTCTGTATCCATGCTGGTCGCAGACCCACTATGTTGGTTTTGTCGTGACGCGGTTCATATAAAGGTAAATTTACAAAATTAATTGCCTTACATTGTTGTTTTTTTCAATGAAAACTGAAATTACAATATCTTATATTTACAAGAAACAATAACAAGTTGTCACATGTAAACATGTAACCTAAAAATATACATGTGCTCAAACAAGAGCAAATGACCCTTAAGTAAAATCTGAGCTCGTTAAGCTATTTTTGCTTATAAAAAAATAAGCAAGAGAGTTTTTTAATTGACATCTTTCAGTTAAATCAAAGTCTCATGGTAAAATAATTAATTTTTATAATATTGTGTTTAATAACGTATTAAAAATCTTTAAATTTCCAAAACTTAAACAAAAATGTACCGAAATCTATTTAATTACTCATATGTACATGTATACACGGAAACAGGATATATTTTTATTTGAATATCAACCGTAGAAAAAGTAGTCTATTTCAAACATAAAATAAACTTTCACTGACAAATTAAAGTAATGAGAGTACAAATGTGTGTACACCTTTTTTATAGGCTTGTTGATAACTATAATTATACTTTTTGTGATATTGTACAAGTTTGAAAGAAATAATTGCGATTTAAAAGATATAATCTTCGGTCGAAACATTTGAGCCGCGTCACGACAAAACCAACATAGTGGGTTTGCGACCAGCACGGATCACATGCTGTTCGCTTACCAACCCTATTACAAATAGACTGCGCGGATGCACAGGCTGGTCTGGATCCATGCTGGTCGCATAAGCACTATGTTGGTTTTGTCGTGACATGGCTCATTTGATATAAAGCATATGCAATAAAAACCCCAATCTGTATATTTATTTGGTTTGTTTTCGTTATTTAAAGTACATTTGCGTTTATGGGTGTGCAGGTAGAAAAAAAAACTTGAAAACTTTGTGTTTTCAGCTATATCATTTTAAATTGTTATAATAAGACAAGTACTATCAATTGGTTTAGATAAAACATGAAGATGTGTCCGCATGCGCTTATTCTATAGATAATATAATGTGTGTAGGTCAATTAAATAATTATAATTAGTACTTCTATTATTATGTAAAAATGAAAGACAGAATGTTCATTCCAAAAGCAAGGCGTGTTAAGAACTACTTTAAGATAGAGATATTGTAAAAAAGATAACATTATTGTTAGAGTATCATTTGACCGAACCAAACAAAACAAACAAAAACTGCTCCTCTTCAAATGGTTATATATATATTTCAAAAGTTTCCTACAAACATATAGTACTGATATTATCCATATGATTTGTAATAAGATATAACTGTTGAAGGTAATGTTGAAAATTGTTGCTTTCGAATTCTACTTAAGGAGACTTAGTAGAACATTTAGCTTCTCCGTGAAATAGGTCAACTAAACAATTACCCACGGTTGCTTTAAATTTACCCTATGTCGACTTAAAACCCATAAAAATGAACCTTCTAACGATGTGTACACCTGTCTGCATAAGTCTTACCTCAAATTTTGTTCATACAAGTAAAGATATACAAAAAAGTTGATAATTAGCTTGCAGTTACTCCTTATAGACATTACATGTTCATTTTATTCCGCAATTTTCGAATTTTCCAGATTTTTAAAAACTGAAATACATTTTGTATACCAAAACTTCACATCACAAGTATGTAATGTATTGAAAAACAAGTCACAAATGTAATCGCAAACGAATTGATACAAATCTATTCAAATTTGTTAGCTCATGTTATGCTTGAGATACTTTAACAACATATTAAGTATTTCATTTTTAAATACGACGTTTTGTATGATTTTGTACGACATTTTTACACCGAAGAGACGATTTCATAAAACATGTATTATAATAGTAAACATCACGTTCGCAAGGTGGAAAAGTAAAATTTAGTACTGGTTTATGGCTATATAAAAATACATTTGTTTCTCCTTTTCGACAGCAAATTGGTAGGACTATACCAAACAAATGTAAATGTTATGATTTCAGGTATGATTATGCTTAACACTTTTAATTGGTAAATTTTAAACGAAGTTTTAACAACAAAGATTACATATTTGGTAACAGGAAATATAGGAAAAAATATAGGAAATTGGTATGAAACGTTAAAATAAGTTATGACACAGCAAAACAATTACAAATATTCAATTATTGTTCAAAGAAGGAAGATGAAAGATTATTCATAATTATGATATAAGTAATTGACGTACGTGTAAAAAAACACGTTAATCAGTCTTAATTTTGGACAAGGGAAAGTTATGCTTAATGTACCAATTTTATTCTTTATTAAAATAGATACAATATGTTGATGTTTATATAGCATATATAATACGATTTCCATTAACGGTACGTACCTTCTTCTGTTATAATACTATTCTAACTTACACAATGTATGTTACAGCATAATTTTGCTTAATGTTTTTCCCCATAAATTAAAAGATATAGCATTTTATCATATCTCGAGGGCAAATACTTTATATGTAAATTATTCATATGCACCTTTTATAATGCTTGACGAGGTCAATGCATTCATAATTTGTCTTAGTTATTGTAGGTTTATTTCGTTTACTTTACTAAAGCTATTGAAACATTACTTCTTAAGTTTGTTTAAGTTAAAACCATTAACTCGCGAACTTTAATGGGAACTTTACAGTTTATTCTATGTAGTACTGCATATGCGAATAAGATAAAGAAAAACCTACGGAGCCCTACATAATTCTACAATGTGGCTCATTTTTATTTGTTGTTTTTTTCTCCTCACAATAATCTTTGTTTTATATCTTGAAACAAGCATTAATTTCATTTCCAAAAGTAATTAATATTAAAAACGTTTAATATGTTCATCTACGACTTGTATTAGTAACAAGTATGCAGGCACTTTGAATCCATCATAAGTTCAGTAAAAAAACGTACAAAGTAGAACGTATACAAAATGACAAAAATGCGTTGCAGGATCAGTTTAATTGAGCTGTTCGTTGAAGACTGGCAAGTACAAGCTACCTTCCCTGCCACCCCCTAGCACCGCCTAAGCAATATCATGTATTATACATGACAATGGGGAAATTTCGAATTACATATCATTCAACATTAATAATGAACACAAAGTATAGTTTCTAATTTTTTTTGTCCAAAAACTTAATTTATAATAGTAATATAGAAGTATTCTGATAAATACAAATGTATAAATGTTTATAAATAAAAAAGAGTATTCCTCGTTAAATTAAATATACAATGTAATGTAAGTACTTTGATCATGTTCTGTTAAACCGCTACTTACTACAATGTAAGTGATTGTATGATTGTGTTGGATCAGAACTCCATGTTATGCTAAAATGCCAAATGTATGTTAGGGAGAGACAAAAGCCTGTAATGTTAACTATAATTTCAATATGTTAAATGATTATGAAAAAGTCTTTATTTACTGAGGCTACACATTTGGTTACCCAATCTTCCATTTGGGCCTCAAAATTAAAATTTCTGTTCTCCAACCCTGATATGGTTAGAAAAAAATGCAAAAAATTCTCTATAACAAAATAAGTCTTAAGCTATTACTTAATGTTTAAATTATGTATATATGGTGAATTTTATCATTGTCGGGTTTTTTTTTTATTTGCTCTGTAAGTTTTAAACTATATTTTAATTTTATATAAATGCTGAGCTCTTATCTATTTTTAAGGTTTTATTATGTGCTAGAAATTGCTTGCTAATCTGTTTGCTACTAAACTCATGTCTTGGACAAGAGTAGCTAGTATCAGCTATCCCTGGTAATGTCATAAAATGAAAATGTTACTTGAAAATCATTACTGTATGTATATGATGATGTACTATGTACAAATCAAAAAAAAAGTTCTGCTATGTTCGGTAATGTAATAAAGTTGTTGCAGGATTGACAAAATCATTAAACATTTATTTTAAAGATTTGGTATAGAAATGTTGTAAAAGTCCGTAAATAATATATACATAGTAGTCTCTTATAATTCTATTTTAGAATGGCTGTGTGCAATGTATTTCTATAAAAAAAAAATTTTTGTATTGATGTTAAGAATTGAACTATGATTAGAGGTTAATAAAAGATTAAACTACAATGTGTTTCCTTTTACAGACACGCCAACTAAAGATCACCTCATTTGCTCTTTGTATTTCTTCTTAATTGTCACGTACCTTTGCAGGACCTTACTGTATTTATATAACATAACTAAAGAACCATATTTATAACACGAATTAAATTGTATTGCATTCTTGAAATAATGTATATACATGTATTACTTAATGCTGAAATAAATTGTTGATGCCGATGATGTTGCTCTATGTATGGTGGAAATGCAAAAGAAATTTAGTCATAAAATGTATTCCAATGATGCGTTTGATGATATCTTTATAATACTATAAATTCTTTACACTATGAACATTAATATTAGTCTACCAGTATATCTGTTGATAGTTATCTTTGAAAATTAAAGGAAAATATCACAAATGGGAACGCTAAAACTCTTCAAATGCAAAATTAAATACGT